GTTTTATTTCTTAGTACAAAGACTTTAAGACACCTTTCAATAAAAATCAAGTTTTTTTCCTTGTTTCCTTGTTAACATCCATATGATTCAGACAGCCAGGGTTTCATACGTCACAAACCTAAGGAACCAATCCTGTCAACTTGTGGGGACAGGGGGCGGGGCTAAATAAACCTGAAACCTTGTCAGTACAGAGAGAGAGAGTTAGCATAACACAACCACTAACACTGTGTCAGCCACTGCCAGTTACAAGCTAACTAACAACATCAATTAACAAGCTCACCGTTCTGATCCGTCTGCTAGTCTCTGGTTCTGGTCTCAACAGACTCCTCATCTGAATCTGGGTCTGACTAAGGCTCAAACATGTGGCTGAGTCTCTCTGATGTTTATTTCTTCCTCTAACCATCTTAATACACACTGATGTTTCACCTGTCAACCTAGCGCAAGCAGCAGTGGTGGATCCAACTTTATGCATGAAAGCCATCTTAAACAAAAAATGATGTGTCTGGAAGGAACTTTAATAAGAGGTCCACCTGAGGACAGGTAATCACAGGTGTATTTAACAAAATATGGTTTCACTTATCCTTACAGAGGTAAAAGTGACAATAAATAATGATGGGTATTTCAGGCGCTGTTGATCAGCTCTGTGGCAAACAATCAGGACAAGTGACAACTACACAGAACTGAGCAACTGTGCTATGGAAATGAACAGGAACGACCCACTGGGGTAAATACAGGAACAGATGTAGTACATACCTCCACCAGTATGAGCTTCTTGTCTGCAGCTCCTCCATCACCTGCCATCCTCAGGCAGTTATACTTGTTGGCTCTGAGGAGGAACTCCTGGAACTGGGCCACCTGGGAGCTGCAGGACAAACCGTTCATCCTCCACTCTGCAAACACAGGACACGGGACAGTGGTGTGGGTACCTGAGATTATCTATCACAAGGGAACGTTTCATCTACATTCACCTAAAAACCATTCATCCTCATTTACGAAAATGGTCACGGATAAAATGTTAGTAACACCTTTCAAAATAAAGCTCTGACATAGTCCAACAGAAGCATTTTTTTTTTAAATTACTTTTACATCAGAAAGATAATTTTCATTTATATCAATCATCATCCTAAAAAGGCAGGTATGAGGCAGGTATGACAGACAGGGGATTCTCCTGACCATGCTGACTGCTGCTGTATGGCTCCACGTTGGTGGGGTTGATCCACTCCTGAATCCTGAGGCCCAGCTCCCAACACAGAACCTGGACTGTAGCGGTCTTTCCACATCCGGACGGACCCGTCAGCAGTAAGATGCCACCCTGCTTATGACAACAGGCAAGTGAAGCTTGATCCTCCACAGACCACATTTTGACAGTTTAAGATCAGACTGTAAGATTAGTCGTGGACAGGACTTCGTCTCAAGATGGGATGAGCTTCTTTTATCACTAAATAAAAAAGGTTAGAACTCAAAGACAGTGCTGCAGGGACAGGTCTGTGGGTCAAAGTTCAGTTACGAGGCTCTGATTATTAAGACGAAAAACTTGAATTACCTTTGATGAGTTTGTGTGAACTCTCATCCAGTTCTCCACCTCCTCTATCTTCTTCTTGTGTACAGCTAGCTCAGCCTACACACACACACACACACACACAAACACACACACAATGGCCATTAAAAGAGAGTAGAAGGAGATGAACATGACACGACCCTTCAGCCTCCACACACTCAAATCAAAAATCCACTAACTCCCGTCAGCAGTGGTGATCAGGGGTTTAAGGTGATCAGCTGTGAGAACATCTGCTCACATCTGTCCTACACCTGTACCTCAGGGTTAATAATAATAATTATCTGCTGTACACAGACTCAACACAAGATGTTGTAAATTATTCATCAGGACTGTTTTATGGATTTTGTTTGACAGGATTTTTTAAATGAATGTGAAGTAATATTTTGATTTGTCAGGTAGTTACTAGAGTCAGGTAACTAGGGCTACGTAAGTAACCTAAAGATTTTAATCACATCGTCCACATCAACTTTTGAAGACGTTGTGTATTTTTGCTTATTTATATTGATATTGCAAATAAATTGGCAATATGAATTCTGTTTGGAACTGTAGAGAAAACTACTCTCATAAGGTCTATAGAGTGGGGGGGGGGGGGCATTTTGATTCTGAACAGCTATTGGCTGAATCCAAACGTATTCATTGATACCGGAACAAATGTCTGTAGCACTGATGCTGACCTGTGAACGGGGCAAATATCTGTCCACCCAGGGCTCATCCTGGTCCCTCTGGACTGACTCTTTCAGCAGGCAGGACGTGTGGGGGTCTAAGCTGCCCGTGTCTCCTTTCCTCTTCCTCCCTCTCTTGGGTTTAGCTGTAGAACATGAGGCCTGGCTGCCCTTTCTCCTCCCAGACAGAGAGAAGCTTTCCCCGGGCAAATCAGTGAAAGACGGATCCACCCAGCGGTTTACCTGTTGTAAATATGGTTGAACAAAAATGATTAAATATTCAGAAGGAACAATTTTACATTTTAAGTTTATATGACAGAACCAGACAGTGAACAGGGGGAGACAAAGGTCCCTGTGTGCTCAGTGAAGAGCTGGTAACACCTGTAACTAAGGCAGAAATTAAGTTATTCTTGAAGAAATGTGGCACATATGTTATATGTGGTAAATATGTGATATAACTGAGAAAAGAGGAAAGGTGGGAAGCTGTAAGAAACAAATGTTTAGTAAAAGCTTAATGAGAGAATGTATTACATTCATTTTTGAAAGCAGCTAATTGGAGGTAAAAATGTTTATAAAGTGTAAAAAAGAAAGCCATGCTGTCCTTCAGCACTGAGTCTCATGAGTCTATGTTCAGTGTTAATGCTATCATATGCACATGTACAACGGTCAAAAGGTTTAGAACACCTCCTGTTTTCTAGTTTTTACTGAAGCAGTTCAAGTCCAATGGAAAACCTTAAATGGTATAAAGGTCAGTGGTGAACAGACCAATGTAAAAAAATAAAAGTTCAGGTCATCAAAATCTGAATTCTCTTTTAGATTTGATAGAACAGGTCTTCATCAACGATGAGAATCTGGTGAACTTCCATCTTTCCTGCAGCAATGGAAGTAAATGATGCACTTCCTCCAGGTTGACTTGACTGACAAACCCTCTGTCTGTACAAACTGTACTGTCACTACACCCGCTGATCAGATCAACATCAGGACAACACTGTACTGCAGGAAGTGGGACTGTAACATTGGAACAACAGAACCAGATGATAAAGACCAGCACAGTCTCCAGCCCTGAACCATAATGGAGCTGGTCTGGGATGAACTGGACAGAAGGTAAAAGTGACACACATTAGAACAGGGGTCTCCAACAGGTGGCTAGCGAGCTCCCAGTAGCTCACCTCCTGTTTTAAAGTAACTCACCCAAAGGTTCTGAGAATACAGTCTGTGCAAACCATGGATGCATACTTCAAACTTTAAGCAACACAACTTCATTCAGTAAATCTGCTCCAAATGCAACTAAATCAGATACACCTAATAATTATTTGTCAGTTTGTTTACATCACATCAGCTGTAGGTGACAAGCAGTTATAGCAACTCTTCTGATAACAGAACACATACAAACTAAACCTTTCCTGCAAACAGGAAATATGTGTAATATGTTGCCATGGATACAGTAAGTTAAGCTGTGGGCTTCAACTTGAGCCAATTTGTTTTTTTAGCATGTTTACCATGTGTGTTTACATTTTGGAAAATGAAGTGTATTGAATTATCTATTTTAAGTTCCTGTTTGTTATGTACCATTTGAAATTATTATTATAATTATTTTAAATTATCTTCTTCATCTAATTTGTTTTGGAGATCAGTGTGCGTGCGTGTGTGTGTGTGTGTGTGTGTGTGTGTGTGTGTGTGTGTGTGTGTGTGTGTGTGTGTGTGTGTGTGTGTGTGTGTGGAGTGTTTTCATACAATGTGTGAATACTACCACTAATGTAAGACATGAGGAGCTCTCAGCCCCTTTTATTTTGTCAAAGTATCTCTCAGAGGAAAAAAGGTTGGAGGCCATTTATTACAACAGTCCTGTAATAAACCCTCCTTCATGAAGGTTATAATGTTCAGTTTATAGGCATTATAGGTGCACAATGCAGTTTGTGGTGCTGTGGAACTGTGTTGTGTTGTACTGAAGTGTTTCTGTTATGTAGCCTGCTCACATTGATATCAATGGAGTGGAGAAAATAATAAAAACACCTGTCTGTGAAACTATATAAACCAGAGATCCTCACCAGATAGTTTATTGAAGACATCTGTCTTCTAGAAAACAAACCACGTTATCTAATTATCACGTATATGAACTTACTCTGCTTGAAGCAGCTTTATCTCCCAGAGAAAGCTTGTTCATCCTTCACCAGGGGAGCAGCTCAGCGGAGGAACAGGGAACCTAAACAGCAGTGGGGGCAGTGGGTGATGATGATGCTGGTATAAAGACAGGGTGGTGGGTGTTTCACGTTTCTGTTGCTTTATCTTTAGCTGAACTTCTGTTTTCCTTGTTATTGTGCTGGGACTCAGACTCAGACACACACACACACACACACACACACACACACACACACACATATATATATATATATATATATATATACACGTCAAACACATACCTGAAACTTTAAAGTGTCAAACACCTGATAACAGTACATTTAATCTGTGGACGATGAGACCTGTTATTTAACTGGCTACAAACAGCGAGATGGTGGAGTCAGTTAACTAGTTTCAGTTAAGCTAACATGATGTCTCTGTCTTAACTTACCGTGTTCGACCATTTGATTTGTCTGAACCCGAAACCCGGTGGTCCCGTCGCTTCCAACCCGTCTTCGGGTGTAATAACAACTAACTTGTGACTCAAACCGTGAGTAACGTTGGAGTTAGTGAAGAGTTAAACCCTATTTAAACTCCGTGGACTCGGACTGCCGCAAACTGGTTGATCACTGACGTAAAAGTGGCGTGAAGTCTCCGTTGGCGGCATTGTTTGTGTGTATAGGTCTGCTGCTGCTGCTGAGGCCGTTGTGACGACAACCAGATAGTTGTACAATTCTCTCATTTTGTCAGCTTTTCTTTATACAGGTTTGTTTTATTCACATATGAGTATAGAGAGTCGGTGTAAAATGGCGGGAAGAGATAACAGGACTGCTCTATGTTTCAGGTGGCGTCATCCAGACACGTGCTGGCTGCTGGAGAGCTATGAAGATGAGGAAGAGACCGAACATTCTGCTAACAGGTGACACACGCCTCCCTGCTAGCTGCTAACGAGCCGCTGACATTAAATTAAGTCACATGAGAGTTGCAGTAAACTAGTCAGTCAGGACTCTACAGGCCTTTCACTGTGTTACAGTTCTGAGCAGGATGTCTGTCAGTGATGGCAGCTAGTCACTTTGATTTTCACCTCATCAACCATCAGAACATGATGGAGATGGATGTAACGTTAAGATCCTTACAGTACTTATGTCAAACCTGAACAATACTGTAGTGTACACTGTAACCATCAATACACACATAAACCACAAGGCATGTGCGATAACCAAAATGTAATATCTGGATACAGTCAGACCAAATATTGCAACATATATTATCGCAGCCGGTGTTTTGTCAACTTTTCTAAAAAAAATAAATAAATTTTTAAAAAAAATCACTTCTATTTTATGCAAAACTGCAATAGAGACATGGTGACTGTGGCAGGCATTTTTCATTATTCTTGGACGTTTGATAAACCAGATGATTGATGCATTAGTCGATTAAATAAGTGACATCTTAATCATTGGTTGCAGCCCCAAAGGAGTTGATGCTGAAATACCATCATCTCATTTCTAACCATAAATGAATTATTAAATGCCAGGTGGGTAGTTGTGGGGATTTTCATGGCATTGGTCATTGGTGCTGTTTAGCAGCGTGATCAAACCTCACCAGATTATGTTGTATGCATGATTTCACCTTTAAATTAATCCAACATTGATTGTGCACTATGGAATGAAACCTAATCTTAATCTCAGATGTTAACCCTCTCTCACACAGGAACCCCTGGTGTTGGAAAGACCACTTTAGGAAAGGAGCTCGCCCAGCGGACAGGACTAAACTATGTCAACATAGGAGACCTGGCCCAGGAAGGTAAATACCTGAACCGACAGAAACACACACTGAAACAAATGTCTAACACTGAATAGGATTCCTAGAGGATGGAGCACCTTCATCCTTCTGATGAATCCCATAGTAAAACCCTTATTGGTCATTGTCCTTATGCTGTCGGAGCTGGACCTGCTTTGGATCTTCACTGAGGTTTAGACTTTACAGGAAGTACACAAATAAATGCAGATAAAAAGTCGTCCTCACCTGATTCTCTGCCCCCAGGACAACTTTATGACGGCTACGATGAGGAGTACCAGTGTCCGATTCTGGATGAGGACAGGGTGAGTTGTATTACACTTTGAGCTTGGTTCTGAAATGTTGATTGTACTGCACAGAAACAGAAACATGCTGCTACAGAACAGGCACTGTGCTGGGACATGTTGGAGAGAAGTAAAGGAAGAGGTGCTGTGTTCACGTTTCCCCCCCCTGTATTACTCTATATACTGTATATAGACAAGTTATAGTCTAAATTATCATCATAACTGAGCAGCTGAGTCCATCTGATCTGTGAGCTGAAGTTTGTTTTTATCACGATAGACTGAATTAGGTTGGCTGGATGTAAATATTTTAAATACTGTAACTTGCTGTGATCCTGCAGGTGGTGGATGAGCTGGATGAAAAGATGATAGAGGGCGGTGTGATTGTCGACTATCACGGCTGCGACCTGTTTCCTGAACGCTGGTTTCACATCGTCTTTGTCCTCCGCACAGACAACACTCAGCTGTTCACACGGCTAGAGAACAGGTAACTTCATTTCAGTTCTCGTGTGTGTAACAGAGTTCAGTCTATATACTGTATACAGTTTACAACATTCCGTTAAGGTTCTAACTGTAACCACCATCAAAGAGTTGCATTGTAAATTATTAGATAAGACTAAAGATGGATTAATACACATAGATAATCATTCTGTAGGTCAATATAATGACTATCTCTCTCAGATTGGACATACATTAATTATTTGTTTAATATATACATATAAATAAAACATATTTTCATTTAACAGTCAGACACGCACCTGGGGGATACAAGCCCAGTCTGACCTTGGATACTATGTAACCTAGATCTAAAATAACATCATGAGAATATGAAAATAACACAAATATGTAGACTTTGCAATAAACAAATAAAATTAATGACAACATTTAATTCCATATTACAGGATTTTGCTGTTGGATATAGTAACCATTTAAAGCTCAAATTATGTTTTAATGTAACATACTAGAGGCACATGTTACATGTGCTGAACCTCAGTTAATGTATGACTCCAATCTGACTTTAAGACGACGGACCAGTATGTTCAGCAGCCATGACAGGCTGATGTTTTCACCTTGTACCTGAGTGCTCATGGGTTGGAACGTCATGTATGTCACTGTTGAGCAGCTCGCTCCATATGTCACTTAAAAAACATCACATCAATCAAGACCCACTAATAGATATCACATGCACTGATTCCTGCTGGTGTATGCACCTGCTTTAGTAACATTATGGCTGAATGGCCTGTGCCACTCAAACACTACATCATTTATGTTCCACTGTACAGCCTCTTCACTGACATGCAACTTGTTACTGCAACAGTTACAAACTCTGTAAAAATGAAAATACTTTTGTCATTCAACCGTGGTGCAATAAACTACACCCACTATATGAGCCATACAAGCCTAATATATACACTCACTACAGCCAGCCCTAATACCTTATCTAACATTACTACAGAAGTGCTAAATTATTAGGAGTGGTTATCTACTAGTATTGTATTATATTATAAGCTACATGGTACAACAGAGTATTAGGGCCACATTAAGGGAAAGAAAATCTGAAATTTCAAGAATAAAGTCATAATATTACAAGAATAATGTCATCATTTTACGAGAAAAAAAGCTGTAATATTACGAGAATAAAGTAATAATATTATGAGAATAAAATGGTAATTTTAGGTTCTGTGGTGTTCTCGAGGGGAAATATCAGAAGCTTTAAAATGAGGAACGTGGAGCATCCTATGAAGTTATACTGCAGCTGAGGTTTCACTAACAAGGAGATACTTCATCTTTAGGTTCATCAGTATCATCATCATCATCATCATCATTAGGACACTGAAAACATTGGGAAGAAATTGAGTCTGTTTGATTGTTAGACTGACAAACAGCAGCTGCCAGAAGCAGCTCAGGCTGCCACTGACTGTCCTTTCACCTGTTTGATAGGTTGTTGTAATATTCCTAAAAATTATGTTTTTTTCTCTCAAACTTTTACATTTTTAATTCTTGCAAAATTACGACGTTATTCTTGTGATATTATGACTTTATTCGCATATCATTATGACTTTATTCTCAAAACTTCAGGTTTCCTTTTTTTTTTTTTTCCTGTTATGATGAGGTTAGTTTTCACTCCCCTTGTGATCACAGTTGTTCCTGTTTGTCTCTCTGGTCCTGGTCTGAAGTGGACTGTGTCCTCTGTATGATTTACAGGGGTTACTCTGGGAAGAAGCTGCAGGACAACGTGCAGTGTGAGATCTTTCAGACAATCTATGAGGAAGCCATGGAGGCCTACAAAGAGGAGATCGTCCACCAGCTGCCCAGCAACAGTCCTGAAGACCTGGATCACAACCTGGAGCAGATAGTGCAGTGGACTGAGCAGTGGATGAAGGACCACAACTAGAGGCTCAACTCTGTCTGCTGGGCTCCAGTGGCAGGATTGTCAGCAAACATTATTTGGACAGTTAAACATGAATTGTTATTATCTGCATCTACATTATCTGCAATCTGCATTTATTTTCATAAATTTTGATGACAGAAGATATTAAGTATGAGCTCTTTCTTCAGGGGCCTGTTTCACCTGCCTGGAGTGTGCAGGGAGATTACTGTTTTAAACACAGTAAAAAAAAAAACACTGGGACTTTGTGACACTAGCTGTCTGATTACCTATTGTATGGATTTTAAATAGTGAAAGCTAGTGTCATATCAAAGTATCATGCACTGCTGCATGCTTGTCAAACATTTTTGTAAATAAATGAGCAGTGAGAAACAGAATCTCACTCTGTCCTAGTGGTAATTAGACAGTGGTCAGAGTACTGACAGCTGCTGTCAGTTACCAATAATGATAAATAAATATTCAGTATTTACTGTATCTAACAGTAATAAAGTACTTCACAGCAGAAAAACTGAAAAATGTACAAAAAAAACAGATTAAAAAAATAAACAATGAAGAAACTAAGTCAAAAAACATATTATAGAATAAAGTTGGGGTTGAATGTTACATGATTTTTAACTAGTACATGCAGATTGCCAATAGTAAGAATACAGTAGTTACAAAAGCTGGCACCAGATGTCTGGCCATATTTGATCAATATCCATCCAACCATTAGCCATACTGCTTATCCTTATAGGGTCGCGGGGGGGGCTGGAGCCAATCCCAGTTGACATTGGGTGAGAGCAGGGTACATTCTGGACCAGGTCTCCAATCTAACAGGGTCAAGCAACAACAACGAGACAAGCAACCATTTACACCTATGGGCACTTTAGAGTCACCAGTTAACCTAATTTGCATTTCTTTGGACTGTGGGAGGAAGCTGGAGAACCCGGAGGAAACCCATGCAGGCACTTGGAGAACTCTATACAGAAAGGCCCCAGCTGGCTGGCAGGTCCACACTGAGGCAACAGTGCTAACCACTGCATCATGCGCCACCCTCCATTAGATATACCACCACAGCGCAGCCTGAGCCCTGAATGCATCAGGTGGAAAGTGACGGCGTTGGGCTGTGTGAGACTATTTGTTTTGGCCTGTCCCTGCTTCCTTTTCTCAGGTTCTTCCTGAGTGCCTGACTGGCGTCACCTGGTTGGTTATTTAGGCTGTGGGTTTCAAGATGGCCTCTCTGTCTCAGCCATCCTGGGAAGCCAGTATTTCCCCTACATTCATTCAGCAGCGGTGTGCTGCTGCTGCTGCTAGATTATGAGCGCCACTTCTAAAGCTTCACACGATTGTCAATATTAGCGGTGCAGCTGCTGTGCACACTCAAAGCAGAGGCCGTTTCTCTTCTGAACTAATTCGTCTGCGTCCATCTGAAGTTACTGTTACCGATAAAGTCACTTTGGCGCTTCACTTTTTTTTGCTCTCTTCTCAGTTCTATGGCACACCGATTGACGTGTTAAGATGTCAAATTTGCATAAAGGCAGAAAATGATGTTTTAGCACGTCAGGTACCTCTAAAGACGGTATAAAATGCCGTGTTAACATGCTAATTTTGAATGTCTTAAGGTGTTTAAAGTGTGTTGAGTGCTACTAATTCATCAGTTTCTGATTGGAAATCACAGACCTTATCATTTCAAGGGAAGAAACAATTGCCCATTTAACGTATGAATTGAGGTTAAGAATATTGACATTATGTCATATAAATAATGGCATTAATTTCTGCACTTTTATAGACTACTCCTTAATGAGAAAAATGTTACATTAATATCTTGACATTTATTTAATGTGGTGTGTCTGTCTAAGTGTTGACTAGATGGCAGTATTTGCAAAGATTTGCATACGGGCTCCAGCAACGTAAACTGTTTAAGATCCATTCTGATTAGTGGCGAGTGTTTTCCTGTTAAACAAACGCACACATATGGTCTGTTGTTCACTCTCTGGAGAGGAATGAGAACCTGTAGAACAGGCCTATTCAACTAGTGGTCCGTGGGTTAACACCGGCCCGTCAATCAATTCCAGCCAGTCCACCGATCAATTGTTTAATTTTCTACATTTTTCTACAATAAATCTTCTAGACCACAGAGAGGCTCTAATAATGCAGCAGCCTTCTTGGTAAACACTACCAGTCCCAGGAAGTAACCGCAGAGTCTGTTGTTAAAATGTTCCAAACTTTCAACTATAAGCTGCATTTCCACCGCAGGAACTTTCCCCAGGAACCTTTTGAGGAACCAGCACGTTTCCACCACAGGAGCCAGGGTTTAAATTTAGTTATTAAGGTAATTAATTGACCCCCAAAAAGGTACCTGGTCAGGGGGTAGTAATTTCCAAAGGTTCAGGAACTTTGGGGGATGTGGTCTGCAGTGCTGAACATTTCTGACTGGTCAAGTACTTGCTGCATTTTATTTTACCCGCCATGTTTAAAAGTCCACAGTGAGCGAGTGAGCAAACACATTTTCCACACCATGAAACAGGCCTGGGAGAAGGTAAAAAACTGAAACAGGACTTCAAAAATAGGATCACAACAACCCGAGTGGCGAGGGATTGCTGCATCCTGTAGGCTATTGAATATATACAGTACACTATTTATCCTGTATTTTCGTTCATGTTATGTCCTCAAAGTGCTGTGAATAATGTAATATCAAGTAATAATTTTGCATAATCTTTAGGCCGAGGTGGAAACACAGACAACAATGGGCCACAGGAACCTTTTACTTCCTTTCCTTTTTGGTTGAAACGCGGCTATAGTTTGTGTTGTGTATAGGGCTGGGTACTGAAACCTGGTATTAACCTGCCTTGTGCAGTGTAGGTAAGGGGCGAGGGGCAGCTCTGTCTCATGCTGAAGCAGCGTGCAGCACACACACAGACACAGAGACGCTGCTCAATGGCGGAGAGAACTAAACGTTCAAAGTGTGGTTCAGTCTTTTTGGGCAGAAACACGAGCGATCTCTGGAAACATCCAGTGAAAGACCGTCACATACAGATGGAGAAATGCACTGACTAGCTCGTAGTTCATCTGTTGTTGATCCCGGTATGTTTTGTATGCTGCAGCCTGGAGCCATACACACACAGTTAACTGAATTATACCACCATGGGTTAATAATGAAAAGTAACAATTATCCAGCTGATTGTTCTGGGTGTTCTCGTCAAAATAGAGGTTTTGGATCTGTGTGCCATACAGGAGAGAGCAAGAAGAGCCAGAAGCCAAGGACAACTTCACAATTATGTACACTTTATAAACTCGTTGTTTGCAATATTGTCATTTACTACATCCCACATGGAACAAGCCACGATACAACGAGTATATTTGATATATCTCCAGAGGATCTTTAACTTAAGCGGGGGGGGGTGTCCCTAAAGTAGGACAACTGGCGGAGATAAATGACGACAGACTGATGGCCCTCACATCACACATCATGAAGACCCTGGAGCCGCTGCTTCTCCACCTTCTGAAGCCACAGGTCAAACATGCACTAGACAAGACAAGCTGGAAGGGATGGGGGTGGATCCCAGCTTCTTGTCTGGATTACGTGACAAGACGACCACAGTACGTCAGGCTGGGTAACTGTGTCTCAGGGACAGTGATGAGCAGCACCGGGGCTCCACAGGGGGCTGTTCTGGCTCCAGTCCTGTTCACCCTGTATACAGCTGACTTTAAATACAACTCTGAGTCCTGCCACATCCACAAATACTCGGATGACACAGCTATTGTGGTGCGTATCAGGAACAGGCAGGAAGAGGAGTACAGGAATCTGATGATGGCCTTCAGTGAATGGAGCGACAAGAACTGCCTCCTTCTGAACACCTCCAAGACCAAGGAGATGGTCACGGACTTTCGGAGGTCCAGGCCCACCCTTCAGCCAGTCAACATTCTAGGGAAGGACAGTGAAGTCATGCACACTTAGAAATACCTAGGTGTGCACCTGGACAGTAAGCTGGACTGGTACCTGAACACAGATGCCATCTACCTGAAGAGGCAGAGCCGGCTCTTTTTCCTCAGGAGGCTCAGGTCCTTTGACGTCTGCAGTGAAATGCTGCACATGTTTTATCAGACAGTGGTGGCCAGTGAACTTTTTAATGCTGCAGTCTGCTGGGGCAGCAGCATGTCCGACATGAACACAAGGAGACTTGATAAGCTGGTCAAAAAGGCTGGGTCTGTGCTTGGCAGGAGTCTGGACTCACTCAGGACTGTTGTGAAGAGACGCATGCAATGTAAGATGGAAGCCATCTTGGACAATAACAACCATCCTCTCCACAATGTTCTGGCAGGACAGAGAAAACAGCTGCAACTGCAGCAAATGTCTCATTTCATTGCGCTGCAGAACGGAGAGGTTCAGGAGATCCTTTGTTCCCACTACCATCATGCTATACAACACCTCAGCCAATGGAAATGGACTCAATTAATTATTATTGTTCACTTATTATTAACTGTTATTATTATTACCAATGAGCTACTTGACATATGACTTTCCCCTAGGGGATAAATAAAGTGTCTGTCTGTCTGTCTATCTATCTATCATCTATCTATCTATCTATCTATCTATCTATCTATCTATCTATCTATCTATCTATCATCTATCTATCTATCTATCTATCTATCTATCTATCTATCTATCTATCTCGCCCACCCCTACCTGCATGTCCAGTGTTAAGATCCTCTGTTAGTAATTACAGTATAGCTGGTGCGCTCCACAGGGTGAGACAAGCTACCTGACATAGCAATGTTATTACTATCACACTTACTTGTCCAGTAAGTGAAAGTCAAGTACAAGCTTAGACTAAACTCAGATTTGTCCTGAACACATACATCTTGATAGTGAAATTATATTTCAGTTTTCAGATGACTCTATTAAACTGGTTTGTTAGGAAGAATAGTGCAGGTGAGGGAGGAAAGAGAAGCAAGAGAGCAGGAAGGAGGACAGGAGAGAGAAGGTACAGTGGTAGGTCATGAGTGAGGAGAGGAGCAAGTAGAGGTAAGGAGAGGAACAAGGAGAGGAGCGAGGAGAGGAGTGAGGAGAGGAGCAAGGAGAGGAGCGAGGAGAGGAACAAGGAGAGGAGCATGGAGAGGCATGAGGAAAGGTGCCAGGGGAGGAGCAAGGAGAGGAACAAGGAGAGGAGCAAGGAGGGCCTGGTCATTTAGTTTGAAGCTTTTCTGACTTGCATGAAAAGAGGCTGCGGTCGCATCCTCATGGACACCAGCACAACAGCACCATGGCTGAAACATTCTAGAGGAAACACTGAAGGCTGGTGCCTGTCAGACTGGTGCCTGGTTTTTGTTTGTTTTTGAATTGTGGTCAGTGAAAGCCACAGCAACACATCCCTCTGCCACCCTGAGGGGTGCTCCCGGTCAGCTCTCCTAACTGGGAGCGTGCTGAACAGTCTACTGTGGGTAATGTAACAAATATTCATGAGTACCTCATAACCCAAACTATCCCTTTAAGTTGACTCGAGTTATCCTTAATAAATTTGTTTTTTTACGTGGTTACTGTGTGGACCTCCCTTCTTTGTTGTGCTCCTGAATGGGCCAGGCGTAACAGGAGGATTCTGCCTGTCTCACCTTCCGCCAGTGTTGACATGAACATCCTATTTTCTTTTCATCTCAGCTACATTAACTGATGAAATAATACAATTTCTTCACAGATCTGGAGAACTGAGTTTTGATAGATTCCTAACAAATTCTTCTAATACTGTGACTATTTCACCATATGATTTTAATTAGTTTTCAGTTACGACTGTGCTGTCAGGACACTCACACCACCTCACCTCACACCTGTCCACCACCTGAACTCCTGATCACCTGGGCGTGAGACACATATCCCTATGCTGGGTGTTGAAGTTTTTTTTTTTTTTAGATTACCAGCTGATGCAGCTGTCAGCCTCTCACACTTTGTTTTGTTGACACTGCCTCCAAAGGAACAACAGGAAGGCTGTGTCAATATTCATGAGGGATTTTCACTGACCATTTATGGTCTGCTGTGGGAGTGTTTTGGCAGAATATGAGGCGACAAAGTTCACACGTTTTCAAGTTAATAGTGATTTATAAACAGCTATTTATATGGAGATGTGTGCGCGCACGATTTTATGATTTTTTTTTCTCTTTAGTCCTTTGTGCTCTTCTGGTCTCGTTTTCTCTTGGTATCAGGGCCCTGGACCAGGATCTGGTGTGACCAAGGTGTCTCTCTAAGGAGTCCGTGACGTGAACACTTGAGGGAGGCCACATCTGTACACATGTAGTAACACACAGTCAGCACTCAGCTCAGTATTCATCGAGGCTGTGGCTGTGGAAGGTATGTTCACGGAGACTGTTGGTGGTAAAAGAGTCGGTACATGTAGTCACTGAGAATTTAAATGGAGACGTGATGGCATTTGACGCTTTTTAAATGTTTATTTTAGTGGCTCAGGTGTTTCGGAGTATAATTACCTGTTCCCGTGATCAGTTCTAGAGAACGTTATTTCTGCCTTCTCCCGGAAAAAAACAAACGTAGTAACTTTTCTAGAGTAGACTGTACACTTATCATTTAAGAAGAGAATGTGGTACGTCAAGTTTCCGGTACGATTTTTTCAGAATAAAATCTCTTAAAGCGCTATCACATGTACAGTATTCGCTACAAAATGGTGTTTCATTTTTATAATGGTAAGAATTAACAGTTAGGTCAATGAATAGGGTTACTAAGATCAAATTTAATATGATTACCAAGCGCAAAATAAGTACATGTTATCGAATACATCCATTATGAAAGAGACGATTAAAGTAAACGATAGGTTGACACAGCAAGATACAGTTTTTTGGTTTGGTTTATTTTGGATATAACTGAAACACCGGCAGACGTCTTATTTTTATTTATTTTTTTTGCCAGCAGCCGGACAGGAGCCGCCATGTTTCCTCCAGCAGAGGGCGTCGTATTCTAGTAACTCCAGGCTACACTAATGCGGTTTGCTAGTCGGAAGTACAGCTAATTTCCACTGAATCTCTGTGGCGTCTGGCACATATGGATAGACGTGTGTGATAAAATGGGTAAGACCGAGTTTTACTTTAGTTCGTAGGACAGGACTGTGTTCATGTCGTCTGAGTTACAGGGGTGGACCTTTCGGATGTCATTAGCCGGTCTCCCGGCGATGACACTGAGAGGAAATAAAGACGGTGTCGTCTTAAAATGTTCGGGTCTGTTTAAATGAGAGGAGTCGATTTAGCTCCGTGTGAACTGAAGACACTAGAGTTTTGTGATGGATTGTTGAGAGGTTTTTGGAATATGTTGTCACCCATTTAGTGTATGTCACGTTAACTGACCAAAATATAGTCCAGACCAGCTTTACCAATAACGACAGCAATCTTTCGACTTTAATTCAAACGGTGTCAGTAATAATAATGATAAAGTAAAAGTTTATGTTGCATAGAGGATGTATTCATTGCAGTGTTCACTGTTACACTGGATTCCTATGGTGAATTAAGTAATACTTGGATACTGGACAGACATTAAGTCCGGATCCAGCAGGGTCTCATAAAGTTTCACCTTGTGTTTGCTGTAGGATCAGGTCCGGTCATATACAGTATATTTGTCAGATGCTACTTCCACATGTAGAAAACTTTGGCGCATACAGAAAATTTGATAACAGCCAGCATCTGCCCAGATGTGGAAGTATATGAGCCAGACTCGGGCCAAGGATCCAGGCATATGTTGAAGTTTCATTTTACTGTCTGGGTGACCACTGGTGGTGGCTTAAGGGAATATTACACGCCTTTATATTGTACTGTTATATTGTACCATTGTGCTGTTGCACAGTGTAAAGGGCTGTGATCTGTTTGGGGCATGTAGATGATTGTCAGCCACAATGTGACATCATGTGAGTGGCTCAGAGATTATTCTAAAATGTGTGATCACATGGCTCAAAGAGGGCACATCATTGACACTGTATATTAGTACTTTGCATGTTTATTAATAATGTTTTCTGGCTTCCACGTCCCACATCATATGACCCTGTGGTTCACAATCTATTCTTAAACATCCAACTTAAAGCTAAGTTCACTGTGGTGTTTCAGTTCCATTCAGGATTAACCTGAGATATTTGCTCATATTTGCTTTAACGCTTTAGTCACTGCTGTGAGCCTAAATTCCAGTTTAGACTATTTTATATAGGTTAACTGTAAAATGGAAACTGTTGTGACAATGAGGCATAACTACTGTTAAAAGTCACATGCATGTGTGTGTTGCACTGACTAGTTGCCGTTTCCTGTAGTGATGAATAGAATAGTAAACAGACACCAATTTCGTAATGCTTTTACCAAAGCACGTCACAGTTTGTTTCTCATTCATTCATTCATTCACTCAAAGACTCACTAACAGCAGAGCTACCATGGAAAGTACTGGTCTAACCATCAGGAGAAATGTAAGATACAGAGGGAGCTGAGGATCAAACACTAATTGATTAATTGATTAATGATGAGCGTTCATCTGTCTCCTATGTGTTCTCTACAGAGACCAGCTATTATGCCGCAACCCAGGGTGAAGCTGGTGGTTACGGGAGATGATTTTGGCTACTGTCCCAGGAGGAACCAGGGAATTGTGGACTGCTTCCAGGCTGGAGGCATCTCCAACGTGTCACTGCTGGTTAATGCCTCTGCTGCCAAAGAGGCAGCTGATCTGGCTAAAAGGTACTGTATGCTACTGTACTGGTGCAGTCCCCTTGTTAGTCAGGGCTGATTGCTTGGCCTGCCTTGGTCAAGTTTTGGCATGCAAAATTACCTGTTACAAAAACTCAATCAATGTACTGAGGTACAGGCAGGAGAAAATAAGATCCATGTGTAAATAGGCAGTTAATTATAAGCCATGCTCTTGGATTCATAGTCCGTGCTCTCAGGTTAATCTGTGCCCTCAGATCCATGCTTTTGAAAGACTTGGCTTGTGAGTGAAAGTTAATACAGCATTAAACAACCAAAACTCTACCTAAGCACCAACTTATTAGGGTGCTCAAACTTTTGAAGATGCGACAGTTCCTGTTTTTTTCATGCATTTCCCTAAATGCACTCTTTATTTAAATGAACAAGATTTTTTTTTTTAAAAAAACCTTGTTCAGTATTGCATCAGTTGAAGTGGGTTTGATCAAGTTTTTTTCAAGTTAATAAAGTGTGGAGCATTAAACTTGTCAGACATTTTGAGCCAGCATCACATGATATGATAAAAAAGTTTGTCTTTTCTTGTCAGACACAACATCCCCATCGGTCTCCATGCCAACCTGTCAGAGGGCGTTCCAGTGTGTCCGAGCCTCCAGCAGGCCTCCACACTGATTAACCAGCGGGGCTTCTTCCTTGGGAAGATGGGCTTCCGTCAGGCCCTGGAGAGAGGGCAGCTCAGCATGAATCAGGTACACTTCTCCAAAGCCCATTACATGCATGTATTGTATTAATTTTTTCATTTATGCAACAATATAATACTACAAAAAAAAATGACAAAAAGAAACACACAAAAGGAACAAACTGTGATGACTTTACTCTCTTTGTTTTAATATTTAATGCTGGCGTGACAGTTTGTTGATCACACAATAACTAAGAATGTAAAACACAATATCTTTTACACTTAGTTGAATAAATAAGAATCATTTTTTCAAATCAGTTAGTTTACTTTCTTGCCAGAGATCTTTTATTTCTTTGGTTGGAAAGAGAATTTACTTGTGAACTGAATTGAAACTTTACTATTATTTAGTTTGGTTCGAGGGTTCACCCTGAAACCTGACCTGATCAAACTGTCACAGCATGTGTAGTGAAGTCATGTTTATGTTGAGCAATTCAGCATGAGAACAGAGTTGTCACTTGATCGCTGCTGTGTTGTATATTTAACTTTAAGTTCCTCTTACAGTGGTTTTAAAGTTAACAAACAGCTCATTTAGTGACATATCTCATGTTGATTTTCAGCTACCAAGAGAAGATAGGGAAAATATTATATTTCTCTATTACATTAATATCCAGGTGTATTTTTTCTTTCCCAGGTGGATCTGGAGCTGAGGGCCCAGGTGAGGCTGTTCAGAGAACTGACAGGTCACCTGCCCCACCACATGGACGGACACCAGCATGTTCATGTACTGCCAGGTAAAAGACTCAGCTGTAACTGTTGTTGGACGTGGACATGACTGAACAAGCTACACATTCCTCACTAACTAACATACACTCACTGAGCACTTTATTAGGAACACCTGTACAAGCAAGCAAAGTTGATTTATATAGCACTTTCGCAGACACTAGTCACAAAGGTCTTCACAATCAAATGAATCAAATTAAATGAAAGAATTAAGATCAAAATACTTCAAATAAAAGCAAAAATAAAAACACCAGATAAAATGTACAAAAGACAGATATAGGACACAGGTCAAAAGCATAAAATACCACATGCCAACTAAAAGCCTGTCTGAACAGATGTTTTCAGTTGCTTTTTAAAAGTCCAAAGGTCCAAGGATCTCAGATTTGGTGGGAGACTATTCCAGAGCTTAGTAGCTGTTGACTCGAAGGAGTGATCACCCCAGGTCTTAAAGTGTGTTCATGGTATGCTTAGAATACCCAGGGTGGAAGATTCAAGAGCTTGGCTTGGTGTGTGGGGTGAAGTACATCTGTGATATATTATATATATATATATATACACCATAGACCAAGTTTGCCAATATTTCTGAGGTGAAAGAAACATGATCTAGTCTGTGTTTTAATGTGTGCATCAAAGCTCATGGACTGGTCAGAGATGATGCCAAGATCAGGCAGACTGGGTTGAGAGGAGAAGGACAGGTCAAGATGGTTTTTACAAGAAAGAAGGAACTTGGCCGTAGTGTTTGTACCACTAGTTTAGACTGAATGACTTGGGGTCGGTTTCACAAAGATATTTCAGACTGGTCTGTAGTGTTGGTACAGACTTAATTTTGCTCATAGACTAGTTTAATGCAAGTTAAAATATTTCACAAAAATAATGACTGACTCATTTTAAGCCAAAAAAAATTTGACACCTTACCCATAGGCCAACCCAGGCCTAAGACCAATGTTACCATGGTAATAATCAGTGACACCTGCGCTGAGCAGCAACAACAAAAAACAGGAAAACAATGGCTCATAATTTGTGGTTTGCTAACATTGTTATGGTGAGCAAAGAGAAGGGAAAGTTTAAGTGTTTAGAGACAGCAGAGATTTCTTTTTTTTTATTGTTTCACTTTTCACTGAATTTCCCACGTAAAACATCCTTGTAACTGATGAATTCTTCCAAAAGACAAACATTTTATTCTGGCGTAACCAAAGCTCAATGGTTTGATGCGGCTCTTTGGTCAGCCATTTTTTTATATTGAAAAATGTCTTAATTTAATCAGAATTGATTGTACCACAGTCCATCTTAAGATAGTCAAGAACTAAACTGCTTTGTGCAACAGATGAATTTAGACATCCATCTGAAGTCTGACTCTTTGTTATATCTTAGCACAGTCAAAGTCTGTCTTTGTGAAACCGACCCCTGGTGAAGGCTGGAGGGAAGATCCTGGGCTTAAAAGCTATAGCAGCCTGACTGGTTGATGAGATGATGAACTACAGGTAAATTGGGCAGGAGCAGGTACCAGAGAATGGAATCTCTCCAGGGCCATTGGCTGTCACTTGCTTAATCTGGTCTTATCTCTGCTTCCTCCAAGAAGGTCTTTGATCAGTTGCCTGATGTGGTAACTGTTCTGAGCTGCAGTTGGCCTCATGACTAATTTACAGCTGTGCAAAAAGGAACTAGGCCTTGGGGTTTAAAGGGGGGATGAGTCTTTGGAAGGTGTCGCACTTAAAGGTGCCTGAAATATCCTACACCAGAAATCTAGGAATCATTAAATTCAACACACAAATTACTTGTGTTGTCAGTGTCAGCAGTAGCTCCTCCCACATTACCACTGCTGTCTTTTGGAGATTTGACTGGAGACGGGAGTCTCACACACTTTCATTACTTCATATCTTCACTATTGATGTTGGAGTCAGTTTGTCATTACCTGATTGTTGTGCTGGGTGTTGCAGAGGTGCGTGAGGTGTTTGCACAGGTCTTGTCAGACCTCAGGATCCCATACACTCGTGTTCCAGTGGAGCCAGGTTTACACAGCTGCCCGTGGTTGCCAGCACACATCCAAAGATTCTACACACAGGTGGAGAAGGATGCTCTGGACTCCATCTCAGTCTTCACACGCTATGGAATCAGGTATGCTTTGGTGTGTGAGTGTGGACGGAGAACAACAGTAAAAACAGTGAATTTAAGTGATCAGTTTAGTGATTACAGTCCTGGGTCCAGATGTTTAATGATGCATCTGAACAAAAAAATGCATACAGTTTTCACCACATGAAGTGGTATTTATGGAAGAATGTGCAGTGAGAATTTACACATCTCACACAGAGCAGCTGCACAACAGACAGTCTGAGATGAACTCACCTGATTCTTCCAAAGCCCTTTCTAATGAATCAGGAGTCAACTCAGTTATACAGTCATATATTATATAATTATAGAGCCAGTCCTTTTAATTAACATGTTCTTGGTGAGCACACAGACATCTACTGTATCAGACTGGTGCTGCTGCTCTTTGCTTTATTTCAGGTAAATAATTATATGAAAGTTAAATTGGTTCAGTGTGAACAGGATTTAAAAGTAGATGTTCATCTGTGACGGTGTCTGTCAGTGGGCTTCGGTACTGAGAGGTCTAATCAGAGTCTAAGCCTTTTCCATGTCCACAGGTGGCCAGACGTGTACCTGGGACTGACGACCATGGGCCAGAACATGTCCATCCCCAACCTGCAGCGAGCCCTCAACCACGTTCTGGCTGCGGGGCCCTCAGGCACTACCTCCAGCAGCGCATCAAGTTCCAATCAACCTGTGGTCACCGCAGAGCTAATGGTCCACCCAGGTTACCCCAGTCACACCCAGGAGGGAGGCTGTGGAGAGGGCCCTGATGACTTCTCCCAGTCAGCTGACAGACAGCACGAGCTGAGCGTGCTCAGAGACCCGTCCCTGCAGGCCCTCTACAGCCAGGAAAGAGTGCAGCTCTGTGCCTTCAAAGACCTCTGACCACTGCACAAGCATCTATTTATACTAAAGAGAACCAGCGTGGACCCAGGTTCCCAGGTTCTGTTCCAGTGGTTTAAAACAGCATCATTCAGAGTAAAACTAACTTTTACAATAACACAACTAGCTCTAAATCAGCAACAATAACCCTGTAATTATAATGAACCGTCTGTGATGTGGGGGCTAGATGTGTCTAACAGGAAATGGTGAATTTTAAACAACCAACAATCTAATATGAACACCATTTCCCATAAGCCCAAAGCACAGGTTTAAGACAGTGTTCACTGCCATGCTGGTTAATTGTTACTAATGAGTCATTAACTTAGTTAAAATCATGAAGGACTGAAACCCAGGAACACATTCTACCTTTTCACAATAAATCATGAAGGAACCTTCAATGACAGACTGAACTGAGTCACAGAGGGTCGACAGGAAGTAGCATCAGGACTACAGATCGGTATAGACAGGAATCAGTGGTCTCAGGATTACAGCTCTCTGTAGACAGGAAGTAGCATCAGGACTACAGCTCTCTGTGGATAGGAAGTAGCATCAGGACCACAGATCTCTGTGGATAAGAAGGAGCATCAGGACTACAGATCTCTGTAGACAGGAAGGAGCATCAGGACTCCAGCTCTCTGTGGATAGGAAGTAGCATCAGGACCACAGATCTCTGTGGATAAGAAGGAGCATCAGGACTACAGATCTCTGTAGACAGGAAGGAGCATCAGGACTCCAGCTCTCTGTGGATAGGAAGTAGCATCAGGACCACAGATCTCTGTGGATAAGAAGTAGCATCAGGACTACAGATCTCTGTAGACAGGAAGTAGCATCAGGACTACAGCTCTCTGTGGATAGGAAGTAGCATCAGGACTACAGCTCTCTGTGGATAGGAAGTAGCATCAGGACTACAGATCTCTGGATAGGAAGTAGCATCAGGACTACAGATCTCTGTGGATAGGAAGTAGCATCAGGACTACAGATCTCTGTAGACAGGAAGTAGCATCAGGACTCCAGCTCTCTGTGGATAGGAAGTAGCATCAGGACCACAGATCTCTGTGGATAAGAAGTAGCATCAGGACTACAGATCTCTGTAGACAGGAAGTAGCATCAGGACTACAGCTCTCTGTGGATAGGAAGTAGCATCAGGACTACAGCTCTCTGTGGATAGGAAGTAGCATCAGGACTACAGCTCTCTGTGGATAGGAAGTAGCATCAGGACTACAGATCTCTGGATAGGAAGTAGCATCAGGACTACAGATCTCTGTGGATAGTAAGTAGCATCAGGACTACAGCTCTCTGTGGATAGGAAGTAGCATCAGGACTACAGATCTCTGGATAGGAAGTAGCATCAGGACTACAGATCTCTGTGAATAGGAAGTAGCATCAGGACTACAGCTCTCTGTAGATGGGAAGTAGCATCTCTTCACACTGACTGTGACACAAACACTACTAAGAACTACAATGACCTACAAACTGGAACATTTTCTGTACAGTGTTTAGAGGTGAACAGGTGTTTGTTATGAAAGCCATACTCAGTGCTGCTGTACACTGCTCTGACACAGACCACTGTACTGCAATACCTACAAGCCCCTCTTTCCTCATATTTATAATGTAGTTTTGTCCTTTATCATCCACTATGACTGTGCTGTGATCAGTCTGTAGTGATATCACCATGTCTGCACATCTGAGCTTTAACTTGGGGAGTAAAACGTTATAATTACTGATAAATGAAACTAAAGTAATAAGACTCATGTTTTAATAATTTTCTTTCATGACTTATCTGATCTTGAGGTCCATGTCTCATATTACCACACAGCAGTCTGGGGTTGGGTGGTCCTGTACCATAGAAGAGTTGTGGGGTAACAGGCCCAGCAGACTATCTCTGCCTCAGAGGCCTTTAACAGGTTTATGAAGCCACGTGGTGTTTGGAGGGATGATCTCCCGCGATCTCAGGTCTGTGTTGCACAAGTAGCACTGAACATCTCATCACCTGCCAGGTGTGTTTAACAATCACCTCTAACAATACAGTTTAAGTGTAATATTTATAGTCTGGGTATTTAAATTTTTATATTTGGTTTAGTTTCTGTTGAAACTTTTTATGCACTGCTGTTTGAATTAAAGGTTGTAACTGAGCTTCTGACAGTGTGAGCCAATAAATGATGTCAAACTCAAACATCTCATTAATATTGAGAAATTTGTTGTTTGTTATTTGTCTGTTCACATTTTCTCTGATTCTCTCTAATAACTTTAAAGGGTGAGTTCTGTCTGTGCTGAGCACCTCTCTCTGCTAACTCTCCCTGCTGGGACAGTTCAGCCACCTGTCCGTCACCTGTCAGGTGAGACACAGACACCACTGCTGCTGGAGCTGGACACCAGTGGAGGAGAGAAGTAGACTAGTAGTATATACTGGTGAAGCCTACTATCAATCAAGCTTTATTTACCAGTAACTTCACAGATTCAAATTTTTTCAACGAAGCGAAGAGCTTTCAACATGTTGCATTGTTGCTGAATAAATTGTCAATACTATGTTCATAAGCTGCAACATTAAAACTACAATTTTATTAATTCATCAGTTCTAATCAAATACTTTAATATATGATAGCATATTTTAAAGTATATTTTTCCTTGTGGCAAAGATACCTTTACTTAAATCAAGGATCTGAACACTGATGAGTTCACTCAGCAGCTTTAACTCACATTAGTTTGTTTGATGAGGATGTCGTGAGTCCAAATTTAGCAATAATGTTAAACCTGGACTCACCAGCACTGTGACACACCAACATGAAGATTATTAAACCACAACAACCCGACAGTGCATGAGAGGAGCTAATTAGCACACACTGCTCATTATCCTGTACACTTACTTCAGTACTTAAGCACAGTTTAATTAAACTGCATTGTTAAAATCAACTACAGGGGTGGTTGATTTTTAGTACTAGTTGATCATGTGGATGGGTCTGTGTTCGCTCTGCTCTGTCCAGTCAAACAAGCCAAAAATGTGAACATCCAGTTGACCAGCAGGCAGACAGTGAGGCCAAATGGTTAGCCATCTTTATTATGAAACAATATTGGGACCAGATCAAACAGCTGTTACATGGTGGAATTTTGGCCACTGCAGTCCCTTCCCATGTCCTGACACATCCCCGGACAGCCAATCCGCTCCCAGCTGCCTTCAAGGTGCTTGTTTCTAGGACCACCCCCAGGAGCTGAGCTCCCTTCCAGCTGAGCGCCTCCTCCTCCAGCTTTCCCTCCCCCTCCCCTCCCCTCCCGATGAGCCGGGTCCCTTTCAGCCGGGCAGCTGACAACCTGCTGCTGGAATATGTCTCAGTGTGGTAAAGGGCTCTGCCTCTGATGTGACAGGTGGTTATACAGGTGGGAGAGGAGACATGCGTGGAAGATTCAAATTAACTGAACAGGCTCTTCCCACATTCCCATCAATTTAATACATCAAGTGTCAAAGTAAAACATGTGGAGGTGGTGAGAGAAAATGATTGTTACCCAGGAAAAGAAAGTGACAGCAGCCGTTTGTGATGCAGGAAACAGTTTAACAGCATCTCAACGTACATCTGACAACATTTGGATGGTACTGCTGTTGATGAGAGCTGCGTGTTTGGAAATCAACTGATTTTACTTTTCTGTAGCATTTACAGCAACAACTATTTAAATCATGTATGTGGCCTGTGACTGTATGTTTCTGCTGAGTGGATTTTAACCTGTGTGTGTGTGTATAAGGGATTGTTCCACAGAGGACAGTGCAAGTCTAGAAGCAGAGGAGGGGAGGGAAACACCTCCAGGTCCTAACTACAGCTGCTTCTGTCTGTCACGTTTGATTATTGATGGGGCAAAAGAAAAACAGAATAAATCAATCACTTCTCCTGCTCTGCAAAAATAAAATACTTGAGAAAAGTCATGTCTAGTGAGATCTATTCAACACAAGAGCTGTTTATATGGAGGAAAAGCCAACAGAAAATCAACACATTACTCTGAGTATTTCCATCTAACTTCATCTGAACATTGTGTTCCCTTAGCATTTCAATTTCCATTTTTCACTTTAAGAAAAGAGTAGAAAGTTAGAAATGGTCTGGATATTTATGGCCGAGGAGGAGTAGGAGGAGGAAGAGGTGGGGGAGGAAGCTGTCTGATCCACAGAGAGTCCTGGATGGGGAGGGCAGCTTAGGCTGCCACTGCCGGGCTTCAGCTGGGCAGCTCCTGGGCTGCAGGGAGGACTAGTGTGGGGGAGAAAGGGGGAGGGAGTGAGCGAGGAGGGTGGCGAGGTGTGGGGGGAGAGCAGAGAGGCGAGAAGAGGAGGTTTGGTATTTGGTCGGGCGGGTGAGATAAGAGGAGAGGGGGAGAAAGAGACAGAGAGAGGGCTACACGCTCGTCAGGTGATCAGTCCATTGGCCGCTTTTCGCCGTGTTTCTTTGTAAACTCTTCAGCATTCTTCAAGAATTTTTTACGGTCCTTTGAGTATTCTTCTGCTAGGTCTGCCCTCAGGGGGTGCTCCGGCTGGGGGTCGTTCACCAGCGCAATGAGGGACTGAATTACTGCAAGACACACACAGCCACAGAAACAAGTCAGATATGCACCATCATTTACCTGAGAACAGAACGGAGTCTGGCTCCACGGTGGTCTGAGCAGGGGCGTAAACAGCTGAGGGTAACAAGGTCAAGGTAACCAAACCAGTTCACATCTCTGACAACCATCTACCATCTACCAAGTGACCACTGGCTTCAGGTCATTTTGTTTAACTTTAGTAAACAGATCAAATATACATCATAATGAAGCATGTGTTTTCTTCAAAGTTCCTTTGTTACTGTGTGAGCAGGGTTCAATGGTGGAGTGGTCTGTGACTGAGCTGCTGTGACTGTGAATACAAATAATCATCAGACATGAGTGTTGACTGTCAATGCTGAATGAAAACGCTGACTTCAGAAAGGAGGACCAGCACATAAACACAACATCCCTCTATGAAACCAGATGTGCACTCTGATTGGCTGATCAGGGCTGAAGACCTGCATGCTCATTAGTAAACACTTAAGTAGTAGAACTAACTCAGCTGACTAACTGTTGAGGTTTGATGCTTTCACATGTCAGGCAGTGAGTATCATCATCATCATCATCATCATCATCATCAGGACCAGTAACTGTTGTAGAGCATCAGTGAGACACAGTACTGACCTTATATGACCTGTTTGTTCCATTTCATGTTTTGTCTTTTAACATCCAGTCGCTTTAATGACCTCAATTAAAAATGGTCTCTGCTCCAAGTGGTTCACACAGTTAGTTATAATGTGTCAATGCTGGAACACACTGGCACCACCGAGTTATCTCCAGTATTAACCAGCTCACTCCGTTGTAGCAGCAGCCTTGTTAATTAATGAGAACTGGCAGAAGTTTGGTTGATGGCTGTGCTGCCTCCACTGGTCACATGGTGGCGTACATCACTGTTTCACATGGAGGCTTCACTCACTAAGTTAGTGGGAACCTGAGAAAGTTAACTTTAAATCTCTTTTATATTCTCTTGCCTAGACTTTGGCCATAGCCACAGTGCAAGTCCAGCACAATTACGGTCCAATGGTCATATCTGATCATTTGAAGGCCACTTTTACTCAAAATATAACTGTGCATGTAATTAACGCCTGATAACAATCTACACGACTGTTTAAGAGCCCATGAAATGACACTCACACTTTACAAGACAAGAGGTGGAGCTCAGTTAGTGAGCTGCCATAAATCAGCCACAGCCTTTAAATGATGTTTTCAGAGATATATTGGAAGCCTCTTTTAGTGATCAACACTGTGACAGAATCATTCCTATACAAATACTGTTAAAATTATTCACTCAGTGTACTCAGCTGACAGTGTTCATTTAGTGTCTTTTCATACTTGAAAGCATGTGGAAACAAAATTTAATAATGTAACAGTGTAATTAACCTGATAATTCTCCACTGTGACTGTTTTCAATGAAGAAATATTGTAATAACATGTAAACTCACACAACTTCTATTGAGATATTGTTATAAACACATAATAAAACACAAGTAGCTGCACACTCTGACCAGTCACCATGATTATTGTAACAGTGGGATGACCCATTGATCCCAGAACTGTGCAGGAAAACTGATCTAATTAGTTTTTAATTAGAGGATGGTCTGCCTTTCTTTCAGCTCTCAGTCCTTCATGATAAAAACCCGTCAGCTCTCTGATAAAATACAGGTGCAAGGTGAACACCAGCAGCAGATGTGATCACACAACAAACTTCCACTTCTAGTTCAGTCTAGAGGTTTGACGTCAGAGCACTTCCCTGTAGCTGAAATTAATAATGTCAGCACAGAGCAGGGCAAGAGGAGGCAGTGCTGCAACCTCACCAGCCTCTGCATCCTCATACAGCTGCTGCTGAGACAGTCAAAGTGAACTGGTGAAATAGAGGATGAACCTACATGTGTGAAGAGCTGTGTGACTGCAGTGCTCACTTGCAGCTGCACGGTGAAGATGACAGAATTGCGTTTCCCTCCTAACTAGACTGTTTTGGTCAGAAGTGTGGTGAGCTTCTCAGGGTTAACTTTGTCCAATCAGTACTACTCATAGACAGGACTTTATAAATGCAGTCCTGGATTTTGCCGGGAAAGCGCTGAATTTGAAGTTGGTTGTATCACCTGAACATTTCATTTTGAAAACCAGTTTTGCTGCATGCTTTGGGAAATGACCATGACTAATGAAGGTGTAAGCAGACGGTAGTAGTTTGGTTTAAACATGCAAACCACTGGTAAGACTGAGTTCTGTTTGGGTTGTTCCTCTACCAGCCATTGCAGGTTAACTTCACCACAGAGATCCATCAGCACAAACTCATATTTACCTCCAGCTGCTCATCTATCAGCTGAGAATAAGGAAGCATGTCGGACAGTTATGGCTAATTTCAAAAGCTTCTAAATCCTGTTTGTGGGACCGTCTACAGAACATTAACTGTCAGACCATCCGAGAACAATGTGATAATAATTATTATTTTATAGGCTGTTACTGTTCTGCAGTAATGACTTGGTGACCTTGGTGCAGTATATTCTGTTTTTTCCCTAACACTTAACACTTTATATAGATAAACAGTACATGAGGCACCATCAGCCCATCACCAGCTTTCAGCATGACGCATGAAAGCTGCAGCTGAGAGCTGTTATTTGTATGTTCATTTACTAACTAACCACAGTCAAACATCAAATACAGTCTCAGTTTCAGTTCAGTGTTGTTTTTATTCTCTCCTCTCTTTACTGTTCAGTGAACATACCGATGCCGTGTTGGTGTTGGTAGGTGTGTGCATGTGTCGGTCAGTCTCTCTGCACATCAGTAGTCATTACAGCATGGTTACCTGCTGTGACAGCGTGCCTCGTATTGTTTTCACCTTGTGAGTCTGTCTAATCCAGCTGGACGAATGGGCTTGTATGTGCGACTGTATTAATGTGACTGAACCACGTTGAACTTCTTTCAATATTACTTTAAAAGACACAAGGACACTTAATTAGAATTTGGTGAATCTTTAACAGATGTAAACAGATGATACTGAACCCTGGTCATGGCTGTCCAATTTTAACTTATTTTTGTATAGTAAGATACTTTCTTTTGTAGCTACTTAACAGTGGGTTTCATTTTAAATGTGGCATATGTAATTACTGACAGGACTGGGTATCTACAGTATGTCTTTAACTCAGAGTACTGGAATACATCAAACACAGATGCTTTTTTCATATATTTCCAGATTTATCAGATCAGACTTATAACACATAAATGAGTTTAAGTTTGGCTCAGCTACAAGACAAAATTAATTGACTTCATTAAGTACTAAAGATGTCTCATTTCGTTATTAAAACTAAAACTTGTATTAGAGCCATTAGGGAACAATTTCAACGCCCTGCTCTGTGTAGACACATGGACATGTAACAGTGTGAGATTTATGACACCAATTGATGTAGCATCACCTTACCACAGAGGCTGTCTACAACACTAACACACTCACCTTGGTCAGTTTTGGTAGCAGGCTTCCAGTTCTCTGCACTGATCACAGGCAAGCACACCTGGCCCTTCTCATCAATGTTGGGGTGATAGATCTTTGTCTTGAATGTGATCTTGGGAGGCTTGAAAGGGTATTCAGTGGGGAAAATGATTTCGATCCTGAATGCACCTTTGTCATAGGGAGGGTTGTCCTAAAAGTGAGAGATGGAGGTCAGTAAAAGAACCTGTGGGCAGTTGTAAGGGAAGTCAAACAAGGAGCGGTTACTTACAGGAACAATGAGCCCTTGCCATGACAATAGGTTTGACTCCTCGACTTGAATGTTTCTGAAGTTCTTCATTCCAGACCTGCGAATCTCTTCAAGTTCCTGGGGGAAGAAGCAGACAGTGAACGTTACACAAGTGAAACATCTGTCAAGACAGGGAAGCAGGTGACAGAAAGAATTGAAACATAAAAAATTAGTTTTTAGTAAATTTACTTAAGAGCTGTACAAGTGCTGCTATTGATTTCCATTTAGGGATGAAGAAATATTCAACTTTTCACCCACTTCATTAAGTGTTGGGTAAAATAAACCAGTTTGGAACTGGTTCCAAGTCTATAACCGGGTATTTATTAAGAAACATGATTCATTATTTTTAAATTCTTATTGATTCCTTAAGGTCTGGACATGTATGAGTCAACACACATTTACAGGGCTCCACAATGTGCTTAAAGGGAGCTGATGGGTGGCACAGGGGGTAGGTTCTTGCCCGCCACCTCACAGACAAAATGTGATAGCATGTACAGCTGTATATGATGATCTAAATATGCATACAATAAAATCAGAGCTATATTCAATAACAACTGAAACAGGTATGCAATATCAAATATAGTATTCAGTGGGATATTACTGTGATATTATTACAGCGTAGCAAACTGCAGCCTGACAGTAAGGTTAATAATTTTAGTGTCATCCTTCCTAGCTCATAATTACACTTGTGCTGGCTGGGACTGTCTGATCAGGGGAAGGACAGACATCATGACATACTGGTTTGATTAATTCCTACAAAACAAAGGCACGATGTGTAAGCCTGATCTTCAATCGCTGTCATCTGCTAGATCCTGCTGGAGTCTGTCTTTGGTGACTAGACACAAGTCTAAACTACTGCTCTGTGAAACACTGCTGATAACCAAGACCGTACTTTCGTCATGCCTCAGTCTTTTCTCGGGCTGATTTCCTGGTTGTGTTCTGACAACCAGTTTTTCAAGCTAAATATTGTTATGTGTCGCCAGGTTCAAAGCGGCTGCTTTACAAAGCACACTGACTTGTCTCAGAAACGGCACATCCTGTGTTATGATCTCAACCGCACATATTAAGTATATGATACTTTGCTAGGGTCATTTGTGCTTTTTATGCAATACGTATGACCTCTACATTTAATATGAATGAATTGTAATGGAATAATAATGCAAAATCAAAAGAGGTCAGGTAAATAATTAACATAACTCTTTGTATCCTGGGCCAACAGCAGTGACATTTCTTCTGACTTTTACTTTCACATACAAGCGCCCTCATTCTGTGGGTGGCAGCTTAAGACTGAGGTGAACAATCTGATTTAAAAAACACGTTTGCCGTGTGTCGCTCTCATGTTACAGCAGTGACTAATGTTAGCTGTGGATTTAGACTGATTTCGTGCTCAGCCGTGCCCTGATGACGGTCTCCCAAACCCGGCTGTCTGTGAGTTTGGCTAACGCTCACCGGCTAGCTAGCTAAAACGCAGCTAAGATCCGAGGCTAGCGTGTTAGCTGATTAGCAAACGCCTTATGCGGTGGAAACTCGCTCATGGTCTTTTGTTGGCCACATCTAAACCCGCTCCCTCGGTCATACAACCCATAGCTGCCTGGCAGTTGGTGTTGGCTGGTAAACGAAGCACCGTCTCGATGGTGGTCTTCGGAAGGCTGACTCTAGACTCTCTGGCCTAATTTGCCGGTGCTTGGCTGCCTACCGTTGATATTGGGTCGGCTGGGTGAGCAGTAGTGACCTCTCGTTTTTAACAAGTTTACAGCTAAAAACAGGCTCTAAATGTGTCTTCACTCAACAACATTATCCTATATGAGTTTAGGCGAATAAAGAACGTACCACTTAGTTGCCAACGCGTGTATTCACATTACAAATAGAATGAAAATAACGGGATCGGGAGATTTACCTTGGCCAGCCTCCTGCTCGCCGCCATCTTGAAATTACTGTGTGTTCCCAGAATACACAGCGCGGCGAATATGGGTCTGGTCCATAGGTCTGGTTGTGGGGCCGAGGATCGGCCATTAGCCCGTAAACTAGATCCCTGAAATGGACATTTCGGGCAAAAATCAAATTTTCTGTCACATAACAGCCGCTGGTCCAGAAGAGAACCATTAAAATTAACTTGTTTTATGACCGCAGGCTACTTTCAGGCTGGTTTAGTGTTAGATGTATAGTGTTACTTGAAATAGATAAGACTAAAATAGTTGATAAATTATAACTTTTTACCATGGATATGACTTTTTAGAAATATTTAGACAGTATTTTCACCATATTATTCCAATATTACTCATAGTTAAAGTTTTGTAGTGACTGCAATTGATGCCCATACGTAAATGTTGTATAGGCCTACATATGTTGAATTTCCATATTTGAAATATATGTACATTTTAAATAAAAAGAAATGAGAATGATATATAAAACTCATGAAAAATTGAACAGTTTGGTATATTGACATATGTCTAGCCCATACAAATATTTATGTTTATGTATGTTGTTTTGATACAGTTACATAATAAATAATATATATCATTAACATATATGGTTGCAACATTTTATACCATATATTGATTCATCATATAGATATTTTTAACATATGTACATACATCATTTTTGCTGGTATTGATATTTCATATATATCTTAATATATCCAGAGGATGTATGTGATAATAATACACCCCCTTGTAGATGACGTATACAGCAACATCACTGTTCATATAGGGACATATACTGTATACATTTCTGTATGGGTGTGTATCGTGTAGAAACTAGTTTATTATTTAACCTGCTGATTGTTGTAACACTAGATATGATCGGTAGAAAGACTTGGACAAATGTGGATGCCAGTCTTCATGTATATTCTGGAATTTGATAAAGGTATTGTTAAAAAAAATCCCAATTGATTGTCTACACAGCAGTGCTGTTGTATGGTTGTTTTAATGTGTGGGTCAAATATATGTCTCTTCATATAAATCCCCTAGCAGAGGAACTACAATCTTGATTAATAAAAATATCCCATTTATATTACAAAAATCAATAACAAACACAAGTGGCAGATTCATCATAATAATGCATAAGTATTTATGTCAGATATGGTGTTACTGACAAATGTAAAGGCTTTGGAATAATGGGTGGAGATTTTAATGTCATGTTAAATCCTGCTTTAGATAAATCTAACGCAGTTGGATTTATAAAATTTATAAAATAATCATTTATAAAATAAAATTTAAAAAATAAAGTTAAATCCAAATATCTAATGGATCAGGACACCAATCAGGACACCAAATTTAAATTCTGGTAAAGAAGTGCATAAGATTTTATATACAGAAAAAATCTAATTCATTGAAATCTATGAAATCAATGTTAAGGGGACAAGACATTTCACATTTGCATTTAGGAAACGCAAGAAATGTATTAACAAACATTAACTTGAGAAAGAAGATGTGAAGTACTCCATAAAATGAGAACTGGAAACATGAGTGATTTTGGTGATAAACCAGGAAAACACTTAGCTCATGAATCAAATAAAAAACCAAGTCAAAAAGTATCCAAGCAGTTTACACAACACAGAGATAAAATACAATCTAACTTAGATTTGTTGTGATTGTTTTAAATACAGGAAGCTGTATAACTTGCAAACAGCTCACTTTGAAATCGAAATAGCTGAAAAACCAAGAACTGCCTGAACTGTCAGACTGTCATCAGACATCTTATCAATAATTAAATCATTACGGCAGCCAGATCATCAGGCTACCTGCCCAATGCTCCAGTTTCCAGCCTCAACTACATCTGGTTGTCAGCTTGTCAGTCAGTCTGGGCCTCCAGTCACTGGCTGCCCTCTCTGGACCCCAGTACCCTGCTCTGCCTCCAGAGGCATCACCTTCATCATCCACTGAGCCAGTTTCATCCATCTGTGCTGCCCCTGTATTGTCAGCCCATGGAGTGCTGCTCATCAGCTCTCCAGACTTCAGGCTGCCCACCTGAGTTGATCCTGCCTCCAGATCAGGGGCTTCATTTACTAAAGGGGCTATTTGTAAGATTTGTCTGCCGTCGAACGTGGTTTGTTGTCAGCAGCAGGTCGTTGTGATTGGTGCTTGATAAGAGATTTGGCCATCGTTATAATATGTCGTCTGAGCAGCGATACTTCCTCAGGGCAGATTGGATGCTACAGTGAGTCGCTATTGGAAAGTGACAAGATGTGCTGATAGGTAGCTGGTTACCATGCTAACTTCACTAGCAGAAAAGAAGTGCTATACATAGAAGCCAAATAAGAGGGTTTCTTTCCACCGCTGGAGGCAGCGTTTGGTGAGTAAAGGAATGAAGTTTGATGCTGAACTCATGTTTCTTCTAGACTGGTAAGTTAACAGCTGTTAATGCCAGCGTTGGCTATGGGGCAAAACTTACAAATAGCTCCTTTGAAGTAACATCACTACATCATCCAGTATTCAAGTCTTCTTCATGGTTCTCTTTGCCTGTGCAGTTCAGTCTTTTGTGACATACAGAGAGCAAGATTTGCCTGTGGTGAGTATAGCTACTGTATATCCTATTTTAATCAATATTTTGTTTCCTACCATTGCAACAAGAGAGTTTGATGGTTACCTGCTGAACCGTAACCCTGATCCTGAAGCTGGCCTGCAGCAATGTTAGAATGTGGCTCCCTGCAGGACATGAGCCAAGGTAGGGGTGACCACGGTGAGGTTCAAGGCCCAGCTCCAGTGCTTTTGTACGCTAAGGATTACCCCAGAGAGGGCATGTGTCATTCTCCACAACATTGGAGAATCAGAGTTAGATGACAATGTCCAACTCAACCGCTGAACGATCCCGATAACGGTCCTGACAACCCTGCTGACTCATGAGATGAAGAGCAGTGAGACACAATATGCTACCATCACCGCTGATTGACCCATCACCTCCCCAGTAAATAATAAAGACAATGTGCCTTTCTTTTTATGAAGTTCTTTATTTCCTGCAAGTCCGAATAAAGAACAGTTATATTTTTTATGTTATTCAAACAGTTAAAATCATCCACCTGTGGACACCTCACCACCTTTAACTGATGCTGCACTGAGGTGTATTTCTGTTATTGTCTCCATCTTATTTCCCAATTCATTTCTCTGATTACACCTTGTGCAGCTGTTTCACAGGAAGCTATAGGAAGACAAAAACATGACAATGAATGTCGCAGTGCCAGGTCTACTTAGTTTCATTGTACGCTCTGGGCCAGTGCTGAACAACATCTTACTGAGGTGAGCTGTGATGTGGAGGTGGATGGCCCCTCTCCCTCTGGCTGTGTTAGAGAAAAAGAAGGTTCTATCTTATTATGGTACAAGACTGTCATCAACTGTTATATGTTATTTTAAAGGTGTAAACCTCAATAGGCCTCTCTGTATCGTCCCTCTCTGTGGCAGCTGACAAGGTGTCTTCATCAGAAATGAAAATGAACTATGTTTATGTTCAACCCATTATGAAAAATCTGTGGAGTATTACGAGTACAATTACATCTGCATAGAGGTGTGTTATGGCTCTACCTGACACCATGGTTTACACCATCAGTAAATGATAGAAGATGAAGAAGACTGGACAGTTAAAGACAGTTCTATTATTGATAATGGAGGTCAAATCTGAACATATCCATATTTGGTGACTTGTGTGTATAAGGTGTTGTGAAGTGTTGTTTTGAAATAGACTATATTAAACAGTGTTAGTGTCAGCTGATGTCTGAAAAAGAAATTTCACTTACTTAAATATATCACGTGTTGAATGAAGCCACAGGATGTTTTCTAATTAGCATTCTAATTTCTAATTAGCATGGATGTTTTCTTATTAACACCACAATTGCTTGTAATGAAATTATATCTCACCCATTTCAACTATCTTCAGTTGTTGCCAAGTACATTTTGTGTTGGGTTGGGTCATACATTACATACAGATGTAACAAATTAAAGGAAAAACCTGAATGAAGGAATGGAGAAACATAATGAATTCAGATGCTTCCACACAGGTGCACAACATGGTACAATTAAGTAATTAATATCCCATCATGCACTGTAGCAGGTATGAAATGTTGAGCAGGGTTCAATCACAGAGATGCTCAACTGGCTGGTGGTTTCAATAGGATCAGTGACATCTGCATATAGATCTATGGGAAAGACATCAGTAAGACAGTAAAACTGTGGTCAACAGAGCATGTTTGATGCCTGAGATGGTCAATTTAAGACAAAATTTTAAGTAATTATTTCAGGCACAAACTGGTTTCAGTGAAAATTCTGCCTTGTAAACAATATTGCTGTAAAGAAGTTGTGCCATCAAGTAACAGCGCTGTTAGCCACTTTTGTCTTATTGATTTGCATAAGCAGTGCTCTGTAAAGAGGGTACTGTACAGTACATATTAGATAATTAGTCCACTTAGTTACCGAGTGCTAGGCAGGTCTGGCAGGGCTAGAATGGAGAGCTGATATTTCATCGAGATATATGTAGCACTAGTCCAGGAAAGAATACAATATGATTGTGTGGTGGAAGACTCAGCAGCCAAGTCTGTGTTGTCAGACCTGGATCATCAGACTAACATCAGACAGTTGCACCAGTGTAATGTTCCAGTTGAGGCAGGAGAAATGCCACCTACTGGATAAATCTAAGGGAACACAAAGAAAGTCATCCACCTAAAAGGACTGTTGGAGAGTTAGTGCAAAACACAAGTTTTGGATGAGTAGAAAAAATGCTTGTGTGGACATGGAACAACTAAATATTAAGCATAGAAATAACACATTCGATCCAGTTTAAGAATATAGCAGATATAGGGACAGGAATTACAGTGACCATATACACCCTTTTACAGATGTGTCAAAGGATCCACTAACAGAGGCCATAGGGGCAGCAATGATTCCCACTCACCAGACTGAGGTCAGTGGAAGACCATCAGATTATTTGACTGTGTTTGCTGTTGAGCTATCTGCAGTCTTGTTAGTGTTAGAGTGGACAGATGAAGTGATAGTAAGTAAAATACTCATCTGTAGCTGTCAAGCAATAAAACAGAACCAGCCAGAAATCACCCAGACCTAGTATATGAACTGTTTCAAGGTTAGCCAGTCAGGGGAAAACATAGGCTTTACACTGATGTGAATACCAGCACACTGAGGAATCCTTGGAAATGAGAAAGCAGACAAGTTGGTGAAGAGGCGGTCAAGGGATAATATGTGGTTATCAATATTAAACTTTCAAAATCAGAGGGGAAAAGCATTGTTGAAAGGAAATAAACATGCAGAGGAAACAGTACTGTGATAGAGCGACAAAAGGAAGACATGAAATTCAGAATAAAGATAAAGTAGGAGGGGTAAGGAATAGAGGAACCAACAGAAAGGACCGAGTAATTGTGAATAGATTAATAATTGGTCACTGCAAATTGAATAGTACGTCCAGCAAGTCCTGATTTCATGCAGAAAGTACGAAGAAGAAAAAGGGCCTGTGGTTACAGGTCCAAGGCCATATTGTTCTTAACATGTGCGTAGAACAACGCTAACCCAAACCCCTATCTTTAGCCCTAACCAATTTGCTAGGTGAGCTGTAGCAAAAAAAAAAAAGGCGTTCCAGAAATGCAGACTTACAACTGTGGCCCCAAGAGTCCTGAAACTACAGCCCACTGAAGAAACATATATTTGATGGGGACATGGTGTAGGGAAGGTGAGAAAGGGCATACACGCAAATATTTTTTTATCCCGTTATCTCAGGATAACAAAGCTTGTTATCACAAGATAAGGAGACATTATCAGGAAAAAACGATTTCTCAAGATAACAAAGCTTGTTATATATTTATAATTTCCTTATTATTCAGAGATCAGGTCAGATCACAGTCAGTCAAAACCGCTTTCTCTGGATAATATCTTGTTATCTCCAGATAACGAGCTTTGTTATGATAATGGAAAAAAATAGTTTGGTCTTTCTCCACCTTGGTATGGGAGAAAATGGATATGTAGGTTTTTAGAAAGCAACTGCACTAATTACAAGGTTGTAGTGGACAACTAGAAAATTCCTGAAGAAATTTTGAATGTGCCTGCTGCTTCTTGCGTATCCATCACACACAGTATCATTCATATTGTATAGACTTATCCTAACTCCTCAGTCACATTAGGTATGACTCAAAAAGCTCCTTGAAACTGTGAGGACTGGCCAAAGTGACCTCACAATGATGGTTTCTAACCTAAATTTGTCCCCACAACCATAGTAAGACATGTATACACACATGTACATGCCCTTACAGAAGTTGATCTGCAATAAAGCTTGGACAAAACATAGCAAAGCAACTGCACTTGTGTGCATCTGTCAATGTGCGTGTGCATATTGTTGTATGTGGCAGTAGAGCTGTCTACCATAGAGCCTCCAGGGGGAGGAGGGAAAAAATGCACATACAATCCCCTCTGTCTCCCAAGGCAGACAACAGCTTTAAAGGTGTAGTGTGTAAGATCTGGCCAGATTTTTTGTTTAAAATGTTCAAAAAATTAACTAACCCTATCAATAGTGTGTGAGGGAGCCACAGTGATAATGTCATGACCAAGACCTCCATCTATTGTATTTCAGAAATTAGCATGCTAACTGACTAGCTACGTTCCGCACCGCATTGTAATACCACTTTATGACACTAGATACTGTGTGAGTCAGTATTGCTAGTCTACCCTCAGTCCCATGAAGAAGAAGAGCTTCCTCCAGAGCTTAAAGTTACGCTACAGCAAAAAAAAAAAAAAAAAAAAAAAGCTCCTGACTAACATCACAGAAACATATAGATGGCTGAAGCGCCTAGAGGGAGCTCTTTATCTCCATCTCGAAGGACAGCTCCAACAAGAAACCATGTTCAAAGGCAAAGAAGAGAAGAAAACATGAGTAAATCCTGGTGTGGTTTTCCACTGCGGGAGACAGCTCTGGACGAGTATAGAGATGAGACTTTTCTTTTAGACTGGTGAGTAACATCTAATGTTGGTCTGTAACGAAAAGTATCATTAGTGCAAATGACAAACTGTACCGACAAACACTTCAAGTGGCATAAATGTATGATTGATGATGTTGATAGACGTTTAAGTGATTTAGTAGAATTTAGCCTGTTCCTGCAGCTGTTGTCCAGCTAGATGCGTCAGTAACTTTTTTTACAAGTAAAACAAAGAGACTGTTTGATCCAGAACCAGCGGATTCAGGATCCACTGCCTAATACTGTATTTTTTTTTTTTTTTTTACCATATTCATATCCATCCTTACTATTTATTATACAAACACAACAGACCTAACATGTTTGAATATAAAGATCTAAAGACTTGCATGATCTAAACTAATTGTCGTAGTCAAGTCAGGTCAAGTCAATTTTTATTTGTATAGCTGATCTGTTATTTAGGAAAATTTTCAGGGATGGCAGTTAGAGTGCGAGTGATGTCATCCACTCTTACTCTGAACATTCCCTGCAATACACACCCATTATAAAATCTGAAACTGTCTAAAAATAACACAAAACGTAAACTGCAATTTTGTGAAAACCGTAATAGTTGTCAAAATACTAATTTAACCCAAAAGAGTTTCATGTCTTGTGACCCCTTTAACATTTCAACCATTGTTCTATGTTGAAGTATGACGCAGCAGTAGAGCTCCAACGAGAGGTGGTTTGGTCGTTTTCACAACGTCTCCCCATTCATTGTCTATGGGATTTTTGTTTGCCTTTTATCGCCATTTACGTCACCATGGTTACTCGAATCGCTATGAGAAGTTATAGCACACCAGTCCCTGTCATAGACCGTATGTAATCGAGCCGCGCGCATTGAAATATATATTGTCTGGGTTTTCTCAAAGCTGCGGGACTAGTTACGCGCCGAAATTTCGATACAGTATGATACAGAATGCCTTCAATGGTATTTGATTGTAGGCACATAATTACAACCAAAAGGTGGCATTAATATAACTAAATGGATGTCAACAGCTGTAACACCACAAAGGAGAACGAGAAGAGCCCCAGCACCAGTACAAGACACAAGACTAAGTTGAGAAGAATGGAACAAAACTTGCATTTGCATGTTAACGCGCCAAAATATGCGTCTTAAATGGTAGAGCGTCTACCTGATAACACGCATTTTTAATGACGAAATCTACATATTAACATGCATTTTAATGTCATCTAAGCACTAAATATCTACGGCGTTATTTGCGCAAGTACAGCGATGTGACCGTAAACGGGCCCGTACCGGATCTCCACTGCCCAGCTGTGGCGTCACCTGGAAGTAGTCACGCTGGGCGGGATGACCGGAACAACAAGATGGTGGAGAATGAGGAGTTTCGGGTAGGCGAAGAGAAAAACACTGATTGTGACTTACTTCTATCAACACTGCAACATGTAGCAATGACTTGTAACGAATAGACTAGTTGGTATACGGTGTCCTGAGCTGGTGGACTGAGAGGACAGACCACTGCCAGGCAGGAATGAGCTTTTTCCACATCAGATCGTTTACGTATCGGTAGTTAGCCTTAGTGCTAACAGTAAGATTAGCCAGTCGCCTGTATACTCCTTGTTATTAGCTCGTTACAAGCAGTGGAGACCATACTGAAAACAAACCAGTTACGCTGTCATTGTCTAGATAGGTTGGCATTTACTGTTGTTAAGTAACTCATGAGTAATAACGACTTCGTTAGGAAACCGATGTCAAGCAGCTAATAACAAGAGAATACACCCAGCTAGCCAAAAGTTAAACCAGGGTGCCTCACTGTCTTAAACACCACAGATTTACATTTAAAAGTAATCGGTTTATCATCATACTGACTGAACTGCACTGTTATGTAGAAAACAGCATTTTTGTTTGACTGTAAACACAAACTGAGTCAATTGTAACTGCCCCGTGGAGAAGTGTTTATTAGCTCGATCTCATGTAGCTTGGTGATCTAACGTTAGTAACGGAAAGGCTGATTAAAGGAGGCGTGAACCTCCAAACTAGAGACCAGATATATTCAGTGTGTTGGGTTTGAACATTTCTGTGCTTGGCCAACTTACTTGTCATATAGTTATACTTTGATTGCAACCTAGAATCTGATTTATATACAGCTGCATAACTGGCTGCAGGTTCAGACAGTGGGGACGAGGTGGCCTCGGTCATAAACACTAGCTGTCTTGATGTGTAGTACAGGAATAACAGCTGCTCTGAGCTGAAACATGATCCTGGGACGTTATGTTCACATTGTAAACAAATGGTATCTTTGAGCTTGTTAAGTGTAAAGTTTGTAGTTCTAAATCAGCCTCTGTACACCTGTCAGATGAACCTGCAGGAGAAATTCCAGTCTGTACATGTATAGAAAAGATTTGTTGCAGGCGTTACCTTGACTGAGAGGACAGGACTCTGTAGCAGTGCTCAGGACTGGCACACCATCAAATACCCAGACATGCAATTTATAGCTGAATCCAGGTTCTGGTTGATGACTTAAGCTTTACAGTGCATTCAGAAAGTATTCAGACCCCTTTAACTTTTTTCACATTTCGTTATACTACAGCTTTATGCTAAAATCGTTGAAAATCCATGTTTTCCCTCATCATATTACACTTAATAGCCCATAATGAAAGTCGAAACAGAATTTTAGAAATATTTGCTAATTTATGAACTATTTGTAAGTTTTCTCTGCCGCTGAAGGTGGTTTCTTGCTGGGAACAGGTGGTGGTGATGGTCATTTACTAAGAGCTTCAGCCATTATTGCTTTTACCGTACAAGAGGTTATAAAATGTCCTCTGAGCAGCTACTTCTTGTCGGCAGACTGGACGCTACAGTGACTTGGTATCTAAAAGTGATGAGATGGTGTGACCATGCTAGAGCTAGTTGGTTAGCATTCTAACCTCAGTAGAAGAAAATAAGCAATAAGGAAAAAGATTTCTTTGGTGAGTAAACGAATTAAGTTTGCTAAACTCACAACATTTCTTCTACACTGGTAAGTAAACAGCTGTTAATGCTAATGTTAGCGATGTAGCAATGGCAAAACTTACAAATAAAAGAAAAATTTAAACATCACATTGGCACAGATATTTAGACTGTTTGATATGACACTTGAAATGTAGCTTAATTTAAAGGATTTTAGCATAAGGCTGCAACATTATTAAAAAAAATTAAGAGGTCTAAATACTTACTAAATGCAATGAATATAAGCATCTCTCACACATATGGTCTACAAACAGCATGTTGTGCATTGCTTACAGGGGATCGACCTGTTCCCTCTGTCATGTTTCCATAGTAACATTTTATCACTGTTCACCATCATCTGCTTTGTTCTGTTTTCCATGCTTTCATTTAATAATTAATTAATATCATCCTCAATATTTGAAATGTTTAAAGGTCATCTATATTAAATAATTGAAAGAAAAAAAGGATGTGCACATGAGAACAGTCCAGCATAAAGAATATATCAATGAGTCAGTGGAGTTCCTTCACTTTTTTAAGTTTCTTTTCAGGTAGTTGATGTGTGTAAGCCAACAGTAGTTTGTCTGTTTGCTGAAGGATATTCTGATGAGTTGAATTACTTCAGTGTGTGAATATTAGAGTGGGAGAGAGAAGTCACTTCATGTGGACATAAGTCATGTTTTGTAGGTGGCACAAACTGACCCACCCTGTGATTGTCTCTTTTCTGTGATTTTACTGTTTTCACCTCTACACCTATAGAGCCTGGAGGCACAAATGATCATACTCTCAAACTTAAGTTTTGCTCTCTAATTAATAATTTGTGCAAATGATTTAACAGGACACAAAGGCAAATAAAAGTTGTACATGTTTAAGTGATATATGTCCACATGTCATCTCAAGTCAAATCAAAACACAACTTTACTGAACCCACCATAGATGAACCTTTCCACAGTCTGACAAAACTGTCATCGTTCATGTTGCATAGTATCACACTACACAGTTGTAGTTGTGTAGCTCACTGTTAGCAGCCAAAGCTAGCCATCACTGCTGAAACAACATCCAGTGTCGCATTAGCTAACCAATGTTATTAACATGATATCTGTAGGTATAGAGCGGCCTAGACTCCAGCCTCAGGTGACTTTGTAAAGGAAGAGTGGATAAGGATAAGTCTGATTTTTTTTTTTTTGGTTGTAATTGTCTTTGCTTATATTATTTTTTCCTTTCAGTTGACATATGACAGTTTGTATAATTCAAGAAAATATCTGAGACATAAGGAGGAAAACAAACTAATGATAATTCCATTATTAGTCCAGTATTATATCCAGTATTACTATTGTTACTCCAGGACCATACACACACCTGACCCTGATTTTTACACCATAAAGTCACCTTTGCTCTGATGAGAAGAGTAACTGTAGCGAACATCTCTGTTAGCAGGAGTCAGTCCTGTAACACAGACTTCAGCCTGTTGACCGATGAAACAGCCGCGTGGCCCGACGTCAAAACCAGCATGAATCTCCAGCAGCCGGCCCCCCTCATTCCCCCTGTTCACCCGGATGTGCAGATGAAGCCCCTCCCCTTCTACGATGTGCTGGACGTCCTGATCAAGCCTTCGAGTCTCGGTCTGTGCTCTTTTCTTTCTCTTTTGGTTTACACTTATTTAACTCGAGGATAAACGGCTCGAGGGTATAAATTATAACCTGTGTGTGTGTGTGTGTGGGTTGTGTGTGTGTGTGTGTGGTGGTCGGGTGAGGTGTGGGTGTGGGTGGGTGGGTCATGGTACTTCAGTTGTGTGAAAAGCAGCACTTTGTAACTCCCAGTCGTCATGTATGTTTCTAGGAGCGAGCACTGCACAGAGGTACCACCAAGAAAAATATTTCATCTTTGCGTTGACGCCACAGCAGGTTCGAGAAGTCTGCATATCCAGGTGGGACTGGTCGATAGCTGAGTGATTCCACAGTCACTGAGGAACATGTGACTGTGTGTGTGATGGAAATAAAAACATGTTGAACTTTGTTTGTTTACAGGGACTTTCTACCAGGGGGTAGGAGGGACTATATGGTTCAGATTCAGCTGAGGTGAGGATGAATTTTCTGGGTCTTTAAATTCTTAGCAACTTAAAATGTTAAAGGAAAAGGTTTTTAACTAACTAAGTTTGAACTCATGACACTAAAGAGGTTTTTTTCATATTAGAGAAGAGTTTTTTTAAAGTATATATTCACGCTCTTAAATGTTCCTCCTCTCTCTGTCATCAGGTTTTGTTTGTCAGAGACGAGTTGCCCTCAGGAGGATAATTACCCCAACAGTCTGTGTATTAAGGTCAATGGGAAACTTTTCCCTTTGCCAGTAAGTGTTTGTTTCACAGACCAGTTCCAATAACATCAATGCAACTTCAGCGTTTCACAATGAAGACACTAACCAAGTGTTTTTTATTCCTGCAGGGTTACGCACCACCACCCAAAAACGGTGTGGAACAGAAGAGACCAGGAAGACCGCTGAACATCACCTCCCTCGTCAGACTCTCATCCGCTGTACCCAATCAGATTTCAGTGACGTGGGCACCTGAGATCGGAAAAGTGAGAACAGAAACCTACCTGGAAACTCTTCAGCTTTTTGTTTTCCCTCCTCTCTGGACATTGTGTGTGCGCTCAGTAACAGGTTGTGTGACTGACTGTTTTTCAGACCTACTCCATGTCTGTGTACTTGGTGAGGCAGCTGACGTCACCACTGCTGCTGCAGAGGCTGAGGATGAAGGGCATCAGGAACCCTGACCACTCCAGAGCACTAAGTAACTGCACAGTCAACTACCATCACCACACACACCATAGCAGCTTTACCTCGAGGTTCTCACACCTGACTAGTGTTTTTTTTTACGAGAGTTGTAACCATTAGTCCATAAATGATTAGTTTATCAACAGGAAAACAATCAGCAACTATTTTGATAATTGAATAAGCAATAATGTCAAATCTAAGCTGCTCCCAGCTTCTCAGATGTGAGAATTTGATGCTTATCTTTGTTGTACGTGACAGTGAACTTCAAACATGACATATGAAGACGACATCTGACTGTGGGAAAATTATTTCACGGTTTCTTTTTATGTAGCTACAACAAATAGTCGATCCAATCAGCAGAATAATCAGCAGATATATCAATAATGAAAAAAATAAATAATATAAAATATATAAAAAATATAAGTAATATAATTGTAATATAAAAAATATAAGTTGCAGCCTTAGTTTTCAGAAAATACCAGATTATGTACATGTACAGAAGAAACGTGGAAATCAGTAATCAGACTGATCCATGCACCTTTTTTTGAAAGAATTATTCACTTATTTTAACTGTAGTGATACAATACAACACACCCTGTGTGTGTTTTTGTGTGTTTTTGTGTGTGTGTGTGTGTGTGTTTGTGTGTGTGTGTGTGTGTGTGTGTGTGTGCGCGTGCGCGTGCTGATGGTGCAGTGAAAGGACAGTCTCTGTAGTGACAGTGAATGTGTCTGAATTGTTGTCAGGTGTTCAACAGTGGAAACAAATGTATTCAGACCTCCAGCTGTTTGAGTTTTAGTGGACGGCACATGTGTGTGTGTGTGAGTGGAAGCAGCTGACTGCAGGAAGCTGCTTCTCTGGTCAGAGACCCTGTTTATCAGTTATTTTCTGTTCGTATGTGCTATTGTTATTTGTTTTTGTCAAATGAAATGAATGGTTTCTTCTCTCCTGCTCTGTTCCAGTTAAAGAGAAGCTGACAGCAGATCCCGACAGTGAGATCGCAACAACGAGCCTCAGAGTCTCACTAATGTGTCCGGTAAATGCAGCTTCTGTGGCTAATGTTCCATGTGATAATAGCAGTGTTCAAATGATTCTGACTGTAAGTTTTAGTTTGTAGAGAGATGAACGGATGAAAATGAATAACTCGTCCACAGCAGAAGTTACTTTTTCACTTTTATTCACTGCTGTTTGTAAATGTAGCTGATACAGGTGTTCGTTACATCCGTCACTGCCTTTATAGAAACACAACAATTTCACAGTTTTGTTCTGTATCAGAGCTCAAAGCTCCTGCAGACCGTCACCTCTATGCTCCCTCTTGGTGAAATCATCTGAAAATACAATGTCCATTTTTACTGCTAAGCCGATGACACTTATCTACCAATCAGACCCAGTGACCAGTCCGACATAACAACCGTCCACAACCGTCTTACTGAAATAAAATACTGGATGTCAGACAATTTCTTACAATGAAATCACACAAAATCAACACAACACAAAATCCTAGGTTATCATACTTGGTCCCCCCACAAAAAGAACTCAAATCAATTAACAAATTACATTTAGCCATCAGCCAAAAATCTTGGATATGTGTTTTGAACCCCAGGTGAAAAAAGTTCTTCAGTCATGTTATATCACTTGAGAAATACAGCCAAAGTGAAGACTCTGATTTCAGCCACAGATCTGGAGAAACTTATCCATGCCTTTATTTCCTCCCACCTCAACTACTACAACTCTCTATATAGCTGTCTCAGTCCGAAATCAATCCACCACCTACAGTTAGTTCATATGCTGCAGCTCGGCTCCTAACTCAGTCCAGTGTGTTCACATCACCCCGGTCCTAGCACCGGCTGCCCGTTTACTTTAGGATTGATTTTATAATCCCTCCCTATATTTCTGATATATCCCCCTGTGACGCAGTCTGAGATTCTCTGGTTGTTCATTGCTGGCCTAGGTTGAAAATTGAAGGAGAGAGTTTGGATGTTTTATATTTGACTCATATGAAGCACTTTGCTACTTGCGTGGGACTTAAAAGGACAGACACCACTGTCCAGTGACATACTGATGCTGCACCACACTTGGTTTACTGTCAGATACTGATTTTTGACTGGACCGCAACAGTGGGGTCAACCATATAATCTTGAATGTCACTGACTGACTGATGATATTTCAAAATATTACCGCAAATAAACCACTTTCATTACATGTATCATTATTACTAAAGGAGGCAGAGGAATAACTAAACATAAGACACACTGAGTATTGAGAGCAGGAGAGAGGGAGGGCGAGAGAGAAGTCATCGGTAACGAGGCTTCGTACTAACTGCTATGACAGACTCTACATATCAAACAGAGGGAGTTAGACATAAAGACCTGCCTCCAAAGGCGGTCCAGACATAGACTAGGTTTAGAACTGGTCTTGTTAGCGATGTGCAGTTTTGAATAGAGTATGTTGAAAACAGTATGTAACTTTTCTTCTTCAGAGACAGATGCTGCTGTGTGCCAAGTGAGACTGACAGCCCAGTGTTCCACTGACATATACATCTGTTACATTAAATAAGTAATGTATAGCATATAGTTGCATTTGTCCATCATTGCTAGCTATTCACTGTATGGTTAGCGCTGCTAGCTTAGCCACCAGTGACTGTCGCCTATAACAAGTGTCTGCTGTATATATAAGGTTATGGCATTAGCTCCAGGTGTCACACAGTACCTGCTGATGACCTGCACTTGTCCACCTGTCATACTTCGTGTAAACTGAATACAGCTTTGTGCTCGTGCTGACCTCAGTGTGTCTTGTCCTCCAGCTGGGTAAGATGCGGCTGACGGTGCCGTGCCGGGCGGTGACCTGCTCTCACCTGCAGTGTTTTGACGCCGCCCTCTACCTGCAGATGAATGAGAAGAAACCCACCTGGATCTGTCCTGTGTGTGACAAGAAGGCTGCGTACGAGAGTCTCATCATTGACGGGTTAGTTTTTTTTTTTTCATATCATTTCATAACATCCTAACAGAAAAGTTTGGTTTTATATCTGTCTTCCTCCCAAACTCCCAAACAGAAGCTGATACGTTTTTATAAAAACAATGACTTTATATATAAATACACATCTACATACTTGTATATGGAGAGAAAAAAAACAGCAGGAGTTCAGTCTCACTCTGTAAATGCCAAATGTAAGAAGTTAGGTTCAGGTATTAATTTCAAATAAAGAAATGAATCCCTTTTTTGTTTGATCATGTAACTGATGGGTTAGTTAAAGTAATTCAGACAGGACCTAACAGTTGTTGCTGAGGCAGCTGTACTCTCAGGTTGTGGTAGATTCCCCAGTTAGTCTGTGTTCTCAGGACTCGTTATGAAAATGTTTAATATGTGATCCATGTGTACGTGTGCTTCATTCTAACATTTAAGTTAGTTTCTCACTTGTGCGATTGGAACTCCTCTTATTTTGTTTCATGTGTTTTAAACACACAGTCTGTAACTTCTGCCTCTAGGTCTCTCAATCAAAACAGTATCAAAAGACAGCGTTTGGTGATGTCATGAAATAGCGTGGGATCATGGGAGTTGTTGTCTTCACCACCATTGCTGTAAGCTTCTTCTGGTTTGGATTCCTTCAGTGTCAGTGGTTCAGGAAATCAAACAGATTCTTACTGTTAAAAACACTGAAGGAAGCAGTTTGACATTTAAAGTCAGTGTTTGAGCGACGCTGTACGGAGGACAGAGACTCAGGGGAGAGCTGGAGATTGATGCTAACCTTTGTCCTGATTGTTTCTCTGATAACTTATGAAGCAGACGTTCAGCAGGTTTTTACCAGCAGCTGAATTATCCACAGAGGTGTCCTCCTCTCCATAACAAACACACCAGGGGATGAGAACCAGTTAACCAATGAAGCCATTTCGCTTTAAAAATCAGAGATTCAGCAACGCTCTTCAGTGACACAGGACAGGACGTCTCCAGCAGCTGGGAGCTGAGCTGTCTAACATTTCCTCAGCTTGTTTCAGCTTAAAACGAGATAAAAGTCAATCTTGAGCTTCTGGCAGGAAACCACAACACTGACACATGATCATACAGGATATGATGTCATTGACAGGGGACCAAATGACAAGGAGCGTTACCATGATTAAAATCACAGATTTCTCTGGTTTGAGAATTGATGGAAACATGTGAGATAATGTAACAACACAGAGCATCAACATATAAAACATAGATCTGGTTGTTTTTAGATGTTTAATGTGGAAAAGTTACAGATTATGAAATTAAGTAGAGATGTCCTGCGGGTCATAGCATAACACCAGCCATATCTGATTCTTTCTTGACTGTACTCTACTGCTCTCCTTAATGACAGCTGTGCTCCACAGAGGAGCATCTCACTGTATATGACAGTAAAAATATTATTTTTAAATTCATTAATCTCCGGTGGCCACAGTTTTCTCTCCTTTCTGTCAGTGTGTGAAACACTCAGGTAGCAGCTTGTTGTTGTAGCTGACACACACCGACACTTTCCCTATGAACACTTAGAGATGTCATCAGTGTCAGGTCATATTAGCTGTCACTAATTAACACTAAGTTGATCAAAAGCCAACACAACCAATCCAGTGTTTCTGTAGTCCCTACATCTCAGCCTCCTCTGCAGCTGATCACTGATCGTGTCACAAGTAGCTGGTGAGAAAATAAGAAGACCAAGGTTGTGTCTGAAATCACTCACCCATTCACTCTTCTCTACTCACTACCCAGGGAGTTCAATGTAGAAGACTATAGAGTGAGCTCATCTGTAAAATGTAAACACACTTTCAGACACTCCTCAGGTCATTTCCTGCGATGAAATCCGTGATTGATGATCATTAACTATCAGCGATTGCTCATGCCTTTGCAAATGTCAAGATGATATTTGACTTGTTTTCCTATTAATGTTGTAACTTATTTTATTTCTAATATTAAATTAATACTAAGTTTCATTTTCCTGCCACAGTTTAACATATATAACCACATAAAACTATGATTGCAACACTTGCACACACACACACACACTCCAATCAGCTGATTGTAATGAAGCTGCTTGACAGAGCACGTCATTTAGTTCAGTCAACGAGAGAGAGAGGCGAGCGAAACTCCTCATGAGAACTGTGGCATCAGAAGCTGAGGAGCCCACCAACACACTCAGTTTTCCTGTGTGACCAGTTAGTGTACAGTTCATGTGTAGTGGTGACTTAGGTGTTTTAATCTGTGTCCAGTTTGTTCCTGGAGATCCTGAACGACTGCTCAGATGTGGATGAAATCAAGTTTCAGGAGGATGGAACCTGGTGTCCCATGAGACCAAAGAAAGAGGCAGTCAAGGTCCCGTCTCAGTCAGTTCCTAAAGTGGAGAGTAAGTACATCATCGTGATACCTGGACAAGGTTTGAATTCATCCTGCTAACACATTCTGTGTGTATCTACAGCCTGATATATTCCTCCACTGTTTCCAGAAACTATTAAAACACATCAGTCAGCCACACACATGCTCCCTCATCTCCATGAACACACACACACTGTACACACACTGTCCTACTGCTACAAATACTCAGCACAACAGCAATTGTGGATTAATCCGCCTGCTGAAAATAGACCCCAACAGATGCACTATTTCCTCCTTTTTAAGTAATGTTTGCTAAAGGCTACATTGAGCAGCTGTTTCAGGAAATGACTAAACTTTTTAGAAATAAAACTGCATTCTTGAGTTGTTTTTAATGAATGATACCTGTGATTTGTGGCTGAGAGTCAGAGAGCACAGAGAGTCAGAGTCACATGTTGACAGTAGAGCAGCACAGTAATATCCTTTGACCTTTGTGTCTTTACCTCAGCTCCTCTGCGCCAGCCGTCAGTGGTCCCTCACTCTACTGAGCCCAGCTCCACCAAGAAGGCTGATGTGATAGATCTCACTCTGGAGAGCTCCTCCTCCTCTGACGATGAAGAGGACTCAGACCCTCCACTGAAGAAACGCTGTGTTTACATTTCCAAGAGCGAGGAGATGCATGCAAAGGGGTGAGCCGGCGCCTCTGTGATGTTTTGTAGGACCACAGACAGATCTGTGTGCAGATCTGTTCTTCAGAAACAATTCTTTCCTTTGTCAGTGTTCACACAGCTACAGTAAGAGCTGTTTAATGTGGTGCAGTAACTAATATTTGTACCTGAAGCCTCAGAGTCATCAGTCTGCTGTCTCCTCTCAGAGTGTTGACCTACCAGCCCACCGTGCGCATGCCGAACATCCAGTCCCTGGACCCGTCGTATCTGACCTCTACGCTCGCTGACTATGCAGTCCCCTTCCACCCCTCCACCCTGGCCTCCATCCCCACAGACATGCAGAGTGAGTCAGCTGGACAGGAAGACTGTGAGCTTTGTCACTAACACATGTGGTGCTGGTAATACACTGTTATTTATTCTCTCTCTCACCTGCAGGTCTGGATTTGTTTTCATTAATCCAAGCAGATCCTCAGGTATGTTTGTTTTTGCTGTTAAAAGCTCCACTTTGTCTGAACCAGTAGTCATAGCAACAGCAGCCTCAGAGAGGGAGAGTAGATCCAGTCACTTTTTCAATGTGTTTAGGTTTAATCTTTATCATTTGCATCTGGATAAGTAACTAAAACTCAGAGATTGTCAGAGTGAATTAATGTTCACAAACCGGAGCTCCACCCTGAAAACAATCTGAGACTACAGACTATTACACTTTATTTTGATCCATATCCATGAGCTGCTACTTTCATTTTGTACTTATTTGTAATAACTTTTGATAGTAGTTAGTAGAAGTCTGATAATAGTTGCAGTCAAGGTTTTTAATTAGATATATTAATTTAGAGTTTATGTTCACTGAGAAAAATGTGAAGGTTGTTGGTCTGTGCTCACACTGATACGTCTTCATTTTAAAATTAAAATGATCTCTGTCCAGATGAGCATTTTAGCTCAGTACCAGAAATAATCTCAGTCCTTACTATCACACCTGAAAACACATATCACATGACTATTCACATCCACTGGGCGTGGGCAAGCTGGTGTAAACAGGAAGCAGGGTGTGTACTCTGCAATTGGTTAGCTGCAGAAAATACTCAAAGACAGTCATAGCGCTAAAATACAGAATTTCACTGAACAGCAGCTGCTAGAAAAGACAACAAGATCAATAACCACTGGTAGTCCAGGCTGATAAGAACCAATCAGGGAGCGACCGTGGGTGTCTACGTCATCGTTTCCAAAGGTCTCAGTTTCTGACGTCCAGCTACAACACTACCTCAGAATTTTCAAAATAAAACAGGTCCAGCAGAGTTTCTGAAAGTCTCTGTTTTAGGTGCTGAAAACTCTGGAGTCGTGTTGAGATGAAACATAGTAGTTGGATGGAGTCTCAGTGTAACGGCTTTATAACCAATAAACAACAGGAGAAGCTAATGTCAGTAACAGTAATGAGTTCTTAGACCAGACTTTATTGCCTGGATGGCAGAGTAACAGGTAACTAAGCCTGGTTTAGCTTGTTACGAGGGAATATTAGGGCCACACTGAGGAAAAAAAGAATCTGAAATATTGAGAATAAAGTCATAATTTTACAAGAAAAGAGTCATAATATAATGTGAATAAAGTTGTAATTCTATGTTACGTGTTTTAAAGGGGAAATATCAGAAGCTTTAAAATGAGGTACGTGGGGCATCCTGTGAAGTTCTACTGCAGCTGAGGTTTCACAAATAAGGAGATACTTCATCTTTTGGCTCGTCAGCATCATCATCAGTCTTTTTCATTTTTGTAATATTACGACTTTATTCTTGTAATATTCTTATTTCATTCTCAAAATTATTACTTAATTCTTGAGATTTCAGATTTCTTTTCCTTCCTCAATGTGGCCCTAATACTCTGTGGTAAGCTTGTGGATAGTGATGAAGCATGATGACCAGTTCACACATGAGCCTGACTCACTTCCTGCTGGACTGAGGTCACTAAATATCATCTGATAAAATGAGAAAATTAAGATTATAGATGTTGCCACACATTGGGGAAATTCTAGTTCATAGTTGATGTTGATCCTGATCAGTGTGTTTCCCGCTCAGCATTACCGGCCTCAGATGTTCCTGGACAACCTGACCAGCAGCATGCAGAGCGCAGCCGCAGCCAGCACCAGCTCCGCCCTGGTCTCCTCCAGCAGCCACTACGACACCAGCTCCCACACCGCCAGCTCCATCCACGAAACCCGGGTCATCACGGGAGGAGGGGGGGGCGCTGGAGGCGGGGCGGACAGTGGCATCTCAGACATCATTTCTCTAGACTGAGCCACGTCTCTCTGGACCTTTTCAGGCCTGGTTTTTGTGGCCTTTTTTTTTAAAAATCCGGACTACATGTACATGACGAGTTTTACATGGAAGCATCCAAATTGGTATAAATGAGCTCTTTGATGACCTGAACGGTTTCCGCAGGCCTGTCTGTCTCTGTCCTCTGGTGTTTCGTCCTGTGGGAGGATGGTGAATGGTTTTGGTGACCGAGACAAACATTTTCCCAAAGGTGTGTCAGTGAAGTTCTCCAATCTTTAATCACATTACATCAAAACAAAGGTTTAGTCCAACACCCCTAGGGTTTTACTTCTGGTCTGTCTCTCTTCACCTGTCACTCACTGACGTCGGGCAGGGAGTGTACACTGAGTGGAATCAGAGGAAAACCTCTCACATGACATGTCTGTGTTCATATCAGAAATGTTGCCTTAACCAGTATGCAGTTTCTTTGTGTTTCACCGGACAGTTTCACAGTGACTGTATAGCTGGTCCTCTGACGTCCATACATCAATACAGATACAATACTTAAATAACCCGTCCTCAGCTCTGCAGAGGTCTGAGGTTTTCCTGACACTCTCTTTACACGTTGGAAACACGCAGGACATTGAAATCTTCATTTGTACCAATTTGTTCGCCTGCACATGTGAATCTGACTTCAGCGCGTTCAGGCATGGTCGACCTGACCTGTGCCTCATCGTCACAGAGCAGAGTCAGGCTGAGGGGAGGAAGAGCTCGGACTGACAGCATCCTTGCATGTGACTCACTGGTTGGATGGAGGAGCCCCTCCCCCCCCTGTGGACTGATGAACAGACTCTTGACTGTGGAGGTGTCTGACCCCCCCCCCCACTCAGCGTGGGCGGGGCTGTCTCTGTCTGTGTCACTGTATCTGCTCCAGCTTTGCCTTTCATTTACACTGACAGGAACAAGGAGGGCAGGTCAGTAACTCATGTTTTGATTGGCCCTCACAGATGTCACTCAGAACCTCGATGGGGGTTGTTACAGGGCAGCTTCTCTGTCACACAAATGTAAAGTTTGTTCCTTTGTTCCGCTGTAATTTAGTCAGAGCAATAATAATTTAACTAGTGTTAGTTAATAAAGTTGTAAATGTAGTTCAGCTACTGGTCCACACCACTCTGCCTCCTCCTGTCTGTCCTCCGTTTCTCTGCTTGTTTGATACCCTCACCTGCTTCCTCTCTGAGTCACATGTTCAGATATCAGTCTGTACGGAGCTGGAGTCAGGATGTGGTTAGCCTAGCTTAGCATAAAGACTGGAAGCAGAGGGAAACAGTTAGCCTAAGTTCACAGATACACCTACCAACATCTAACACATCATCAGATCTGTCAGAGCCCCGGCTAGCTGTTTCCCTCTGCCTGTTTCAAGTCTTTATGCTAAGCTAGGCTAACCAGGTTCCTGACTCCATCTTCTCAAGTCAGTAAGTCTGTTTCCAAAAGTATTGAACTGTTCCTTTAAATTTTCTCACAGACAGTTTGAGACAGTTCAGAGGATTTTCAGTGTTCGGTTCATTTTGTTCCTGTCACTTCTCTGACCTCTGACCTCTCTGCTCTCTGTGCCTCATGCTGTGTGTTGATTACACTTTGTGTTGGTGATGGACGTGAACATTTGTTAACACCATTATCATCATCATCATCATCATCATCATCATCATCATTATTATTATTCTTCACCGTTCTTCATGTTGCAGCTACTGTGTCAAAGCTCTCGATCTCAGGGACCCACACTCCTGTTCTCACTCACTACAGACGCTGATGTAAAGGCCAGGCTGGTGTCGGTTTTTTTTCAAACATCATGTCGATATTTATGAGTTTACATGTTGATAAGGCTCAGTCCACCCAAATTACAAAAAGAATTATGTGGTTATGAGGATGGTTTTACCACAGATTTAGTCTATGGATTAAAATGCAGACTCAGTTTCCCTGTTACTCTGACTCTTTAGTAGAATTACAATAGAAACGGCTGAAAAACTCTACTCACTGTTCATTGTTTTGGACTGAAGACACAAATCTGTGTCTCAAAATCTGGACAAATAAAACCAAAGTATCAGCATGAAGACGAGTCAGTGGTGGGTGAGAAAATATGTTTTTATAATGTTGGTGAACCTTTAACATAAAGTAAAATAAAGTTCAGCACAGCAGCTTCACTCATGAGAGCAGAGAGTTTGAGGAGGTCAGTGTCTGTGACTTTAACTCTGTCTCTCCACCTGCACGCCGATGTAGGTGATGTGGATCCGCGGGGTCTCGTGCCATCGTTCGTTTTTTTGTTTGTTTTTTTACTCTTCATACTTTGTAAACAGAATCCAGATCAGCTGGAGGTTTCTCTTTGACACCATGTTAACAGACTCATGTTGTTCACCAGGTTCATTACAATCGGCTCAGTACAGACTCGTCTGTTTTCCTGTATCTGTGAACTTGAAGCAGTTTGAATTGTGTTTCCATGTGTGGGCGTTTTTTATTATTAAAAGTTTTCTTCTTTTTTTTTTTATTCAGTTAAAAACTCTGTCGCTCTTCAAGTTGTGCAACAAGTGTTGTTATTCCCAGGAAGTGATGACGTGTTGTTGTGATCGAACATCATCTTCAGTGTTGTGTTCAGTTCAAATTTCTCTGAGGATCCAACTCAGGAAGTGAAAAGTAAGATGCAGGCAGCTTGTTTCTGCTTTGAGTGACGTGATGGAGGAAAGAGCAGCTCTCAGATCATCACGTGATTCATCACATGTAAAGAAACAGCCAATCAGACACAAGTACTTAACCTCAATTCTTTGAAAATGCTCTTACTAATTGTCTGTCCTGTGTCATTCTGAAAAACCACAATTGAATTATTAAGTTCATTTTTTATTTGTGTGAAATCTCTAAATCAATATATTAACAAGCTTGAGCCTGAGCTACAACATATTTACACCTTCTGTTAACTCTTCAGTTTAAAATGTTGCCGTGGGGCCGCCATCAGGGACATGGTGTACTTCACTTCACTTTGTGGCTTTTTCAGTCTGACATTAATGAGAAGGCAGTTCGGTTCCTCTTCCACAGGGGGGCAGTACAACCTCAGTCAGAGACTCAGCTCAACACCTAAGGACGCTGGTGAAACAAGGTTCATCTACACGTATTATATATAATACATTTTCTAACAGTCCAAAAAGAAAAAATAAAACATCTGACCAGATCAGCGGAGACTGAAGAACAATGATTGACAGTTGTCTCCTTCACTCTGACATCAGCATGAACTGATTCACCTGAATGCATGAACACAACACTCACCATAAGCCCACAACTATTTTCTGCCTCTTGGTACCCAAAGAGTGGAACCTGACCGCTTGTTACCACTTCATAAATAATTCATAAACTCTCCATCATCAGCATTTGTACCTGCTGCTTCATCAGTTTGTTAAGTTACTAGCGATGAACCAGCGTCAGCATCTCAATGGTCAAAACGTTTCATTTGGCAGATCAAATGATGTCATATGAAATGATGGTATCAAATGAGCAGATTCAGACTCTCAGGTCTTGGCAGTATTGTTTAGCTTGACATGATATCAGCAGCCGTCTCCATTATAATCACAGGTGTTGATCAGATCGTTCTGCACAGTGGAGATTAACATGGAGATGCTTTTAGCTTTAGGGCTTTAGCATTCCAGGTAGAACACAGGTGGTAACCTCCTTTACCTGGTGAACTTTAGCTGCACTTCAGTGTTGATGCTTTTACTCTTCATCACTGCAGCTTAGAACATGAGGAGAACTAAAATATCTGATAAAATGATCCACACACGGTTTAATATTTCCCATGATGCAACATTTCTATCAGACATCAGCTCATCTCCTCTGCAGAAACATTAGCACATTAATCTGAATTTCTTTTAATTTGTTTCACATGATCATAATGTTCACTTAACCACACTTATTTATCACCTCAGCTTTATTTAGCCAGATAACCCCAAGAATGTCAGACTCAAGTTAAACTCACTTGTCACTTGTGATACAGGCTCGACAAGACCACCACATAAGTAGATATTTATTTTTATGAGATGAGATGAGATGAGATGAGATGATATAAGATAAGACAAGATCTCATCTTAGATACGATAAGATAAGATGAGATCAGATGAGGTGAGATGAGACAAGACAAGATAAGTGAAAATATACTAATAAATACTAAACATTACAAAAGATGAATAGTAGATAAATAACATAGTATAGCAACATAGAATGTTCAGATAGATATCAAAATATGTTAAAATATGTCAAAAAATAGCAGCAGATAAGGAATATTGCACAGCTGGTGTGTGTTAATCACTGTCTTTGGTGTTTGTGTGTGTGTGTGTGTGTGGTCTACTGAGTGTTTGTTCTACAGTCTGACAGCAGCAGGAAGGAAAGACCTGCGGTATCCCACCTCCACACACTGCGTCCGTTTTATATCTAATGTTTGAGTGAGGTTGATGAGTTCAGAGAAGTGATGTCATCATCTGAAGACGTATCTGACCGAGCTGCACTGATTCCAAGTTGTGTCACTTCCATCTTGTTACAAAACCTGGTTTGCAAGATCTGGTCGGTCTCAAGAAATACCTTGAGTTAGGAAACTCATCACAGCGCACATAACACACGTGTCTGCTATAACTGATGTTACTGCAACTACTGCATCAAAGAAGTGAAGTTTCATGATCTACCAATCAAAACATCACCTGAACAACCAACAACCTGTTTCTTCATCAAACCCTGGAAACAAGATGCTCTGCAAATGTTGTTGTTGCAGTGCATGATCATCTAAACATGTCAGACTCCATCCACTGCAGAAACAAGTATGGAGCCCGTATTTTATAGATGATCTATTCGATACTTGCAATTTTTGTTACAAAGGAAACTGATATTGTTTTGAGCTCAGATTCCTCTTGAGGCACCGAAAAGACTTTGTCCATCACCAAAACCTGATGTTTGAAGAAAACAATCACTAACTCAGACCGTTAGAACCTGATTCTCAGCTCTACAACACTTTCTCTTGAAATCAGAGAGAACACTGTTAAAATCCCCACAATGACCCCCTTGTCAACTGCTTTTAATCTTTGGTCAGGGGCCCAATAAATCATTGTCCCCTCAACGTGTCAGGTAAGGTGACAACCAGGGCAGGAAAAGTGGGGGGAGCAGAGGCAAAATGGGGGGAAAAGTCAACTTGGGAAATTAGATTCCACCATGGAGTCAGTGAAGGCTGAGGGGAAGTTAAGGTCAGTGCCCTCCCCAGGTGTTTGTTTGCTGCCTGTCAAACAGCAGCCACTGGAAACAAGACCTCAAAAGAATTTGCCTTTATATGATGTGATTACTGTCATGGCTGTCTTCAACCATTTGGGGTCCCAGTGGAAGAAACACACACACACACACACACACACACACACACACACACACACACACACACACACACACACACACACACACCATACCTCTGTGTACTCTGGCACCTTCAACCTGGAGGAATAGTTTCATTAACTTTCAAAGCTTCATTTAGGAAAGCCTCAGTCATGTCAGTGGTCAGGTTAAGGCCACAGCGACACTGCACTTCCACGCCATGTAAGACGCTCTGGTTTCTGCCATATTTGGTCACCTCGCCCTCTCGTCATGTATATGAATTTGGGAGGTGGAGCTTCTGAAGGAGCACCGACGGAAGGGGAGCATTTGTTTGGCTCTTGAGTTCGAATACAGTGCCACAGAGAGGACGTATTTTTGTAGTCCAACACAGAAGTTAGCATCACCCCCCCTCACCCCCCACCCCCAAATGTTTATAATACTGACACGTTTTGTCCAGCAGGATCATCTTCACTAATGAACACCACTTTATGACGTTAGAAGCCTAAATACAACCACTAGAAGTGAAAAGCTAATGTTAGTCACACAACATCAACATCACAACCACTAAACTTCAACTTGTAGTTTGATTGAGCCCTGACGTCTTTCCTCTTACAAAGCTAGTAACAGTTTGTAAGAGCGTATATAGGATATATAGTATAAACACAACGAGGCTGTGCAGGTGGACTGGTGAGTAGATGAGTGTTCATGCTCTCTGTGATGATGTTTAACGTCCCCGACAACTTCTGCAGTCTCATTCAGACACTTGTTAACAACCGGCCTTTTTT